CAGTGAAGATAAATCGTGAACAGTTTAGAGACATTCGAAATATATATAAATTAGAATAGTATTGTTATAAATAATAAGTGTTTAAATAAATTATTAATTAATAAACTGTTGTTTAAAATAAACAAACATCACACCACAATAACATAATGAAATATTAAAAAAAATAATGGTATCAGTACCGAACCCTGATGTACTCCCGAAGTGATTGTGACCTTTATAAACCTTTTACTACAACAATCAATGAGAGATAGTATTTACAGACAAAACAGAAAAGGAGGAAAATGAATAAATTAAAAAAATATATATATTTAATATTAACTTTATCAACTTAATTAAATAATTATGTTTTGGAATATAGGAAAAAGGTCGATTGGTTAAATTATTTCATCTGTTAATGGAATAATCGATATATTTAAAACAGAACATCGTCATTATTAGATAGATAGGTATGATGAATTCGCATCTGACGGTAGCTTACAAAATACCTATTATGTAGTTAGGTACATAATAAATCCTATAATAGATAGCATGCAGTTGTTTTGACAACTGTTATAAAAGCATGTTTATGCATTATAGAAGAGTCGAAGCTGAGGCCATTCACCTATCTCTTCAATTCTTGGTGCTCGATGAATAAGGCAGCGTATCAATTACAGAGTGTTTCAACTAAATCTCAGACATAGAGGTTGTTTATAACAGTTTCCGAGAAATAAACAAAACTTATCAAAGATGACGTTAGGCTATAAAAAAACCTCAAATTATATACGATGTGTTATATTTTTTATTAATCAATTCTACCTTGTTGTGGAATAAATTTCACTTTCATCTAAAGATTTTATTTTATAAAAATTAAGAACACTTTACTAGGGAAGCGCAGAAGGGCCATTTTTTAAATTAATTTATTTTAAGAGTAAAAAAATTAATACCAATTCAAAGATAAGCTCTTGATTTGGTTTTTAGTTTGCATACACTGCAACAGAAAATATCTCAAATATCTGATAGTTTGTTTGCATTATTACACAATAAGGTAATTGGCGCTTTTGACATTAGTTTGAAATTAGTTTGAGCTCCTTTATTTAGAAATGTAATATTATGTCTAGATGTTGTCCTAGCCTAGGTACAAAAAAAATTATTTGAGAGCAACAAAGTGCAGTCAATTTCACAATTTAACAATTTATGTAAAAAACAAAACAGATGCCTGATTTCTACGTGTTTCTAATGATACAAAATTAAATTGGTGTAGTAAATCTAGGTAATTAAAAACTTAAGAATTTTAAGAATTTCTTTTGAATTTTCTCGATAATGTCTGAATAATAAATGTATATAGGATGCCATATTATTGATGAATATTCTAATTTTGTTCTAAGCTAAAATATAGGGAAGTTAATGCCGAGAGACTATTGAAATTCTTACAATTCCGGATTATAAAACCATATGCACGATACGCTAAATTCACAAAAGAGTTAATGTGGTAGTTAAAAGTAACCTGAAAGTGAACACCCAATTCTTTGATAGTGTCAGTTCTTTCCAAAATAATATTATTAATGGAATAACGAAAATTCAGAGAAATATGTTTGCGGGTATATGTCACAATTTTCCATTTAGAAATATTTAAAAAGACGTGATTTCTGTGACACCATTTCTGCAATAAGTTAATTTGATTTTGCAATATTAAACAATCAGCCGTACTAGAGATACTGGTGTATAATTTTAAGCCATCTGTAAACATTAACCTATTGCATTCAAACGAGTCACACAAGTTGTTAATAAATTAATATTAAGAACAATAGTAGCCCTAAATTGGATCCTTGAGGAATTCCACTAGTTGATGTAAAGTAATTGGAATTAAATCCATTATAACAAACATATTGTTTACGCTTAGATAAATATGATTTTATCGAAGGCTTTAGAGAAATCGGTATAAACTGCATCAACCTGTTCCCTACAATCTAATGATTCACAGAGATATTGACTGAAAATTACTAGATTACTAATAGTTGAACGAGAAGATCTGAATCCACATAGATATATAGATATAAGAATTTTAGCACATAGGTACAAGATGATCTCTAAAAGTTTTGCAGCGTTATTAAGAATGGATATTGGTCTATAATAAATATGGGACAGATTTTACCTACTTTCCAAACATCTGGAAAGACTGAAGTTTTTATGACTAGATTAAAAAGAGTTTGTAGCTGATAAATTAATATTATTAAGCAATCTTTTAACAGAAAAGAAGGTATTTTGTCTGAACCCGAGGTGAATTTATTTTTTAATTTTTTACCAGCATCTAGGATTTCTTTTTGCGTTATTGCTTCACTACTAATATTTAATAGGATAATAGGATTATAGTTAAGTTGCAAATTCAAGTCTTCATTATCTTCTGGCAAAGAATAGACACTTTCAAAGAATGAACTAAATGCATTCACTATCGAATCAGGATTATCATATCATTCATCATTATAGAACATTTTACCAGGAATTCTATAAGTTTTCTTTTTATTATCAACAAATGACCAGAATAACTTTGGTTCTTCAGATAGCTTGATCTGAATATTTTGTAAATAGAACGCATATGCCTTGATTTTAAGTTTGATATTAACTCGGAGTCTACTAAATTCTTGGTAGTAAACAATATTTCCACTAGCATTAAATTTTCTATGAAACTTAACTTTTTCTTTAATAAGTTTTATAATTTCACTAGTAGGTATACCAGACTGGATATTTATGTTTGAAATTTTTAAAAATTGGATTATGTTGATCAAGTATCTCAAAACTTATTATAGAAGGTTTATACGCCAACATTAATATCAGTAATATTTTTCAAAAAAACTCATTATATAAAGACAGAAAGTTTGCTTTTTTAAAGTTGTAAGATTTGCTATTGATATTTAAACTGAAATTATTTTAGGTCTGTTCTGGTTTTGAGAACTAACAATCCACAACTGTCGGGCTCATGCGCAGTAGATAAAAAGCGTTCAGCATTAGGTATATCATCTTTCAATTCGGCACGTGTTGAGACGACTATCTTCGTTCCACAGAATACGATTCGTATGTAATGTCTCTCTCTATTCAATTTGCTACGTGTTGAGTAAGCACATAAGAATCCCTGTCCTGGTTTTTCTCGGACTATTTCGGATCTCCCAGTCCAGTGTTCTGGTTTCGTATTCGAAATAATCCGTGATTGTTGTGTGGATCGACTCAGACTGTTTTGATCACGCATGCGTTTTTGAAGTGTTTTGAATATTGTATTAGATTTTAAGACCATAGAACGTATATACAATCTTAAATTGTTTATTTATGTGTGGACTACTGTCTCTTGTTCTTGTTTAATTTGCAAATTGAGGCAAATTTTAGAATTATTAATTTTTTAATATTATTATTATTCCATTGAAATGTGATGAGGATGATAATAATGAACATATACATGCAAATGTTATTTGAAACTCAACTTTCAAAAGGAACTGCATATTATAATAAACAATAAATAAAACAACTTTAGTATTCTGGTTTTCCAACAATTTTAACCAGTCGGGGATTTTTTGCTTTTACGCACACGATCCGGCGCAGCCGTTTTCATTTTGAGAACCAGAACAATGATTTGTAAAAGCTTTGTTTTAGTGCACTTTCGTAACTGTACTAGAACCTTTGGAGCATGCGCAGTAGATATTTGTTGATTTGATTTCACCTGAACTAGTTCCGAACCTTATAAGTTCTGTGTTTTGGTTTTTCTTGGGAATAGTTTCATATTCATTCTCGAACAGTAACTTCGGTTCTGGCCCAAAGCTAGAACTGTTTCAGAATTGATGTTTCCGCTTGCGCTTTTTTGCAACTAATTTAATTTTTGGGATTCTGGCCATGTTTTGTGTTAGAATTTTTATAAGAGATTTTCAAATGACTAATGATTGATTAGTTAATGTTGTGTCATAAGTTTTTTTTATGAATAAATTATTTACTTTATCTACGTTTTACAATATTATATGGCCTTTTTTTTACTTAGACACTGTCCTGTGTTATTTTTTCTGTTTTATTTATAATTTTTACCTTTGACATTTAATTGTTCTGGCAGTGTTTTGGTTTTGAGTACAAATGGAATTGTTACAGAACTGTTCAGAATTAAGGACCCATGCGCAATAGTTCTGCGCATAGTTCTGGAACAATTCTAGAACGAGAACCAAAATAAACCTAGAGAGAATCCGAAAAGTTCAATTGAGAGAAATGGATGATTTACAAAACAGTTTATGCTGCTATTAGATATAACAATTTATCATAAGTATTTAAAATGATATTGTATAGTTTAAAATTTAATACGGCCAAGAAATTAAAGATTTGCGAGTTTTCCTATCTTCTAGATTAGTCTCAGTAAAATTCGCACAATTAAAGTCTCCTAATAACAAAACTTTATTATAAGTGAATACATCCCATCTTTCAACGGTTTCTAGACAGTTATCAAATTCTTCCAAAGACAAAGATGGAGGAATATAAAGTACTGCTAAATAAAAAGAACGGAAAGATACGGAATACTTGCAAACCAAGAAATCAGGTTTTGGAAAATTTTCTTCAAATTGAGAAGTATCAACAAAATCGGAATGTATACACATATTTACTGTTCTATCCAATGTAACCTTTTTATGTTTGTCGTTGTCGTAGCCGCCGCCACTGCTTTCGACTTATTATCCCATTTACGTTTAGACGATAAGCAAGCAAAACTGTATACAGTTTAAGGTATATTATGTTGCCTATGCATTAGGTTATAAATGTTATAAATTATATAAATTGAATACTAACTATATTAAAATCAATAAATAAACTTGCAAAAAATATTTTTAGAAATTATCTTTTTTGTTAATTGTTAAGTGAGTTTGTTTCCTAAAAGCTCTTTGCCCAAACCGTTATTTTAAAAAAATCAAAAACTGATTTTAAATTTGCCTCTATTTATTTAAGCGGAAACAAGTCTGTAACTGTCAAAAATGTCAAGTTGTTAACTTTACTTGTCTTTTGGATTCCGAAGTAAGCACGTTGCGGAACACGTAAGTAGATTTTATTTAATTTTTTCAAAATTTATTTGATTATATTGTTAAAAATGCATCCAAGTGGACCACGTTTAACTACTTAATCATCTATTCGATTAAAATTTTCAAAAAGTGACGTCTTTGATTCACATATGTCATTTCTGTTGCAGCACCTTCCACAATGCAAATTTTCGTGAAAACTCTCACAGGTAAAACCATTACCCTCGAGGTAGAGCCATCAGATACTATAGAAAATGTAAAAGCAAAGATCCAGGACAAGGAAGGTATCCCTCCTGACCAGCAGCGATTAATCTTCGCTGGAAAACAACTCGAAGATGGACGTACTCTTTCAGACTATAATATCCAGAAAGAATCCACCCTTCATTTGGTGCTCCGTTTGAGAGGAGGTATCATCGAGCCCTCTCTGCGTCTCCTAGCTCAGAAATACAACTGCGACAAGATGATCTGTCGCAAATGCTATGCTAGGTTACACCCTAGGGCTACTAATTGCAGGAAAACCAAGTGTGGACACACAAACAACTTGCGCCCCAAGAAGAAGCTGAAGTAAACTATAGTTTTGAGGTTATTTTTTTATTTAATGTTAATTGAATAAGATACAATGTTAATTCAAGATCGGGGGAAATAATAGGAAATGAAAAAATATTGGTTGTTTTTTTTTAATAATAATGTAGTGTGAGGGGTGGTTAATTAAAGAGTAACTTTTCTCATTGTGAGTGGGCCTACAGGAGTGCAAATCTGGTAAATTCTGCTTTAAAGGAATATGCTGTATACCTAATTGAAGACTTAAGTTTCAGTGAGTATTGTAGGAAAAGTTTTGCTAAATTCTATAATTTTGATTGATCTTTTATAATATTTTTTGTTTCACAATTTTGAGAAGTGATCTAAAATTTAACCCACATAAGTAAAAATATTTAAAATTCGTGGTATAATTTGGATATACACAAATTTTTTATACCTTAACATTCAATTAACGAAATTTGTTGAGGGAAACCTGAAGGAATCCTTATTTTGTTTAATAATTAAATTTATTTAGTTATGATTTGACATGAAGGATGCAATATAAAGAGTTCACTGTTGCCAAGTAGTGCATTATTTCTTGAATAATAGTATTGTTTTTGATATTCAAAATGAGATGTCTTTTAACAAAGGAGGTAAGTAAAACATGGTGTCACATAAAAAATTATTTTATTAACTTTAATGATTTATGGAACATGGAAGTTTATAAGATTTCTCCAACAAAATGATTTGGTATCCTGAAATCTTGATATTGGTTAGCTTTCTTATATCCAGCAGTTTGTGATGGTTAAATACAGGTATATTTAATGACTCCATAGAACTTCATTTTATTTCTATTAAACAGAAGGTAGGTATAGGAAAAAAAGGATGTCAAATAACAGTTATTAAAGGATGGAATCATTAATAGCCAATTAGACTTTCTAGTAAATCTATTAAAAGTATAATTTGTTTAATTGGTGGGATTTTGAAAATTAATGGAATTGTCAGATATATATTGGGAAGATTGACAAAGGGTTTTAAAATTATAACTTGGGAAATTAAAAGAAAAAGTCAGAAAATAATATATTGAAGTTAAAATAGATATTAAAGTTGACAATTTTATATCGTGTTGTGGATTAAATTAAAAAAAAAATAGAAATTAAAAAGGAGTAAGAAAAAAAGTAGAGGAAAACAGCAAGAAGAGACCAGACAGGAGGTTCAGAAAGTCAGGAGTTAAGCAGAAGACAGAGCAAAAAGAAAGAAGCTAAGTAGAAGATTTAGATTTTAATTTAAGATTTATCTATTAGTATAGGTATTTTTTTTAATTATTTTTTTAGGAAGCCAAAGGATCCATAACCCTAAAAGCTCTAGGGCATTGGAATGATTTAACATTTCCAAGGTGAAATCATATAATAAATCTAATGTGTCCAACACATTACTTTCCTATCTATAGTCATTACAAGCTTTTTTCAGTTATTTTGTAGAACTTATTGTAGCAGCTCTATAAATATTTAGAGGTTAACTTAATATATACATTTTCCACATAGATCTAACTCGAACTCGAAACATTTTTTTAGAATAGACCCCAAAATATTTTATCAATGGTATATATTTCCAAATCTATGCCTAAATTACGTTTATCGATTTGGCAACGTTGCAAAGTATATTTATTAATTTCTTGTGACAGTTTGTCTGCTAGGCTAGTAAATTGTAGGTTATGTTATGAAATTAAAAATAATAGCTATTATTTTTCAATGGCTATTATGACTTCAAATGACTGCTAATGCAGTTTTAAATTAACAAAACGCAACATTTGGTTATTTTCCATTTAACATGGACAACAGTGGGGTGATATTTCACCCTATTATTAATTCTATTCAAAGAATGGCTCTTTATGAAACTAAATCAGTAAGACATGATTGAAGCAGCTTAAGATAAAATACTATTTACTATATATAATTTCAGAAATTCTACTTAGTCGGATCGAATAATACACAAACTAGATTTAGAGTTCTAAAAATTGATCGAATGGAAGCCAAGGATTTAGAAATATATGATGATAAAGTTGAATACACTGCAGAAGAAATTCATAATTTAATTAGTATGATAGAGTCTGGAAACAGAAGAGCAGGAGGAGGTTTTTCCAAAGTTATATCTGCTTTTGGTATTGTAGGTAAATAATTTTCATGCAGTGATAATGTTTCATTGTACTATATAAATATGGAAAGATCCATTAGTATACATAAATTACATAAAATAGCTTAAATACATTATAAAAGGTAGGTACAAAAAATCTTAACATTAAATACATGAGATAAAATATACCAGTTATTAAAAACATTCTCTTCACATCATTCTGGAATTGACTAATTGAACACCCAGTGACATCTAAATTGTATTGATTAGCCAGTCTCATTAGTCTAAATAGGGGCACATGATAAGCATAATTAGTGAGGTGAAGTTGAATTGCAATTAGAGTATTATTACTTGTAGTTCTTGTGGGAACTCTAAATGCAATCATTGATAATAACTCATCAGAAGTAACAATACTGGCTATGATCTTATAGAGGACTGACAGATCCATGAAGATTTACAAGGATTTGGCAGGTTTATTAAGTTCAGAATTGTGGAATAATCAAAAAATCAAATTAAAAATATTTTATTGTCGAAGAAGTACATCTTATTGACAAATCTATATAACACTTAAAACCACAAAATACAGAAAAAATATTTACATATACAGATACTATGTCAATTAAAATATAAAAAAGGGTATATCAATTATTTGTATCACATATTGTGTGTACAGTCATTAAAATAGATATAAAACACATAAAACTATTTAGGTACAAATAAAGTAAAATGCACCCAAATCAGTTAAATGAATCCCAAAAGAAATCTTCAAGAGTGTAATATGCCTTCTCCAAATTTTACCCTCCTCCTGACTATGGCCTGATTAGAAATATTTCTTATATTTAAAGGCAAGTGGTTAAACACTTTTTTGCTATTGTATAATAAGGATTTTTTATCAAGATAGAATTGGGGAAGGCCAGATGGGGAGTGGGATACAATACATTCACATTCAATGTGTATTGTATATAGCATGGCACAAATTTCACTCAAATATTTTTTAAGCATTAAACATACCGTTTCTAAAATATAAATACAAACCAAAGTTAATATATGTTTAAGAAACAAAGGCTTACAAGAGTTTTCCACACCAACTTTACACATAAATCTGACAGCTCTCTTTTGTAGCACAAAGACTCTATGAAAAAGTAAAACCAATATTTTAACATAATTATATAAAGATTATAAGTTTTAAATCTTGTATGCCCAAGTCATTTGATTCATTCACTTATTTTTTATCATAGAAATGCTAAAATTGAATGATCTTCATATTAAGACTAAAAGATGGTTTTGAAGTGAGAATTAGTGACTCAACATTCACATTTTAAGAAATAAGTTTCTGGATTTTTTTAGAATTCTGTTTTAGAAAATGAACCAATCACCGATAATAACAGTTTACCAATTAAAATTACATTCATACCGTCAAAAATTTTAAATATATTTAAGTTTAATAATTAATTTTATATCTATATTATATTACCAAGAAACATCAGAAGGCATATTTTTTTAATATATGGAGTGGCTAGTTATTTAATTAAAATTCATTAAGTAAAAGAAAAAATAAGATTGAAGGTGAATGCTTTATTTATTATGCTGGCTAGGATCTATATATTTTTTCTTTACAATTTTAGTGTAATTGTTTGGCAGGGGATTTGAGGAGCAGACCTGCAAAACGCAGTTTGTCCGAAATTTCAGTTTTTTAACTGTAGATGGTGATACAATATTGAATTGAATATCTATGGTTTCATAAAATCTTGGATATACAAATCGCATTATATCCTGCTTAAAATGTATTGTGTCCATCAAGATCTCTGTAACTAAGGCCGTTCCCAAGCACCAGTTTTTTGCCATTCCTGAAAATTTACAATTTTGGACAAACTGCGTTTTGCATGTATGCATGTATGCATTTAGTTTTTGAAATGTGATTACTCATTTATTAAGGTCTTTATTTACATTTTTCTTTCTACTCAGTGTCAGATTGGAACCAGGGCCTACCGGTCGGGATGGAAAAGGGCCCAGGGCAAAAAAAGGTTTTCTTTGCACACTGATGCTTTTTCTGAAAGTTTCACAATTGTTGTTCTCAAGGGCCCACTGACTGAACAAGGGCCCACTGGTAGACGGTCCAATCTGACACTGTTCATACTTATATATTTCTCTTAAAAAAAAAAAGAAATGCTTGTTAACAAAAGTAATAATTATTTTTTTATTATAATTGAAATTAATACTGCAGTATCTGTTCTTGACATATATTCAAAAATAGATAGTTTTCATTATGTGTTTCTAAACATTTATCTGTATATTTTGTTTTGTATTGTGGTTTTTAGAAAAAAAAAAGATATATTTAAAATATTATTGCATAAAAATCAGTTCGGATTCTTGACAGGTTGTAGTACCAACGATGCATTATATGAATTTGCATCAAACCAAAAGAATACCTTGGTAGGAAATGTGCATGATTATTAATTGATCTGGCAAAGGCCTTTTGGCACGGTTCCACACAACAGGTTACTAAATTCCTTTGAGCATTATCGGGTCAGGAGGGCTGCGTTAAAGGTATTTGAGAGCTATTTAAAAAAAGATATCAACTTTTGAACTAAATGGCACATACAGTAAAAGACACGAAATAGGGAGTACCTCAGGGACCAATTTTTTTTGTTGTATACCTAAATTCACTCCGTGGAGTGGATATTGACAATAACGCCTTAGTTTTTGATGGAGAAGACTGGAATAATGTTAAAAACAAAATGATAACTGCTTAATTAAGAAAAACTAATTATTATAGGTTTTTTCGTAAATAGTATCAACACGCCAACAATATTCTTTTATTAAGCTTGAAAATGAAAAAAATTATGAAGTATCAAAAATAAAGTATTTGCATGGGAATTATTGTAGATCAGTACCTACATGAAGTAGCATGAACACAAACTATATTTCTAATAAAATTCGCAAAGTAATTTACAGATTTTATTGTTCAAAATACGTTTTAAATACAAAAAATGTAGTCATAATATATAAAGCATTAATAAGATAACGAATTTTGGTTTGGGGAGGTTGTGATAATGCATTATATAAATTAAATATAATACAAATGAAAATACCAAAAAGCATCTATAGTAAGAATTAAATGTATCCAACAGAACTGCTGTTTACAAATGATACTTGCAATATCAAAACCATCTACATGTCAGCAATATGCAGTTACATATCTATCGTGGGTAGGCAAAGGAGTATAAGTCAAAAATGTATAAGCTACGTAAATCTATGTTATATGTCTTATAAGTCGACTTATACTGATTTTCCTACCAAAAAAAGGTATTTTTGAAATTTATATTATGATGTCCAAGTTCAATAATGACCCTAATAGAAAGTATTGACTTATCCCACGTTTTACACTAAGTATAGATGACTGAAACTAATTTACCCAAACTTTTGACTTATGCTCCTTTGCCCACAAAGATATATACTCCCTACAAAACATTGTAAATCATTAATTATCACACAAGAAATAAAGTAAATAAAAAAATTAGTATTCCGGTGAGTCACAGAAACATTAATCTAATATTTTTAAAATTATTTAGCACAAAAATTTATAATATGCTATCAGGCAAAATAAAATAAAAAATATCCAAAAAACACATTGTTTTCAAAAGAATATAATACATATATGTATCTTTAACAACTATAACTTGTTTAAAGAATTCTTGAGATAATTTTAAAATTACATATAAATAAATGTACAAATCATAATAAGTCACAAGGTTTTTTTGTTCGCAGTGCCCACCAGTGTAAATTACTCCACCTTATTTACCTGATTTACTTCCTCCTTATTCCTTATACACATGTCGAGTGTAATTCATTCCTGCTAAATAGCTGATGGAGAAAATATCCACCAGTGAACACCACATCGCCGACACGAAGGTGTAGTGGATTTTACACTGAGCCAAACGAAAGGTTTAGTGTCAATTGGTGTAGTTCATTCCTACACTAGTGGGACGATCAAAAGAACCTATACAGATGCATCCAGCATCTAGGTGCAAGGGCGTCTCCAGGAGGGAGGCTATGGAGGCCATGTCCCCGAAAATTCGTCTTGGAACCGCCCTTGCCTAGGCGTGTCTCCAAGAAAATGTATATAACTTAAGATAAGAATAATTGTTTGTAAGATAATTATGTAACTATTTTTGTATTTTATAAATAAATGTATACTATTTTTTCATAAAATGTCTGAAATAAAGTTAAATATAATAGAACTTATAAAATATACGAGTAGGTATAGTTGAATTCAACATTCTAGGACTATTATTGATGGAGTGGCAATTTTAAATGCAACTCTTATACCTTAATCAAAGCAAGATGATACTGCATTCATTTCTTAAAATCACCATGCTTTCGACCTTTTAAATTGGAGTCAGGGTGAATTTGTGGTTTGTATTTGACAGAACGCTATATAAATATAGTTATAAGTTCTTTGAATAATGGACCAACTCGAAGTACGAGCTGTCATGAAATGTTTTCACATTAAAAGTTTAAGTCTCACGGAAATTAAAGCTGAGCTGGATTTTATTTTAGGCGAGTTTTCTCCATCATATTCAATTTTCAAAACATGGGTGGCTATACATATACAAGCACTAAGAATGCAGATTGCCCACGTAAACCAAAATGGTTTAAAAACAAAATTGTTTTGAATGGCCGTCGATTGAAGTTGGTGGAGATAGCTAAGGCTGTGGGGATTTCAAAAAAGCGAATCACATCACATATGCGCCTATTATGAATAGCTGGCAGCATAAAAGCCTTGAATATCGTTGGGCGAAACGTATTAAGCAACAAGGAGACTGTGTCGAAAATTTGTAGTAGTTGTGTATCTATAAAACCATGGGCGTACGAAATTTTTATAAATACATCACATTCCACTTTTTTCCATCAAAAATCATAAATATTCAGTTTAGTAGTGTAGTCTAAATTTTACGTTGTTTTATGTTTTAGGATTTATAAAATTTCTTGAGGGATATTACATAATTTTAATAACAAAACGCAGAAAAGTGGCTCTTATTGGTCACCATACTATATACAAAATAGAAGATACGGCTATGGTGTACATTCCGCATGAAACTGTGAGAGTGGTTCATTCAGATGAGGCGAGATATGTAAAGATGTTCCAGAATATTGATTTAGCAAGTAATTTCTATTATAGGTAGTTATATATGTATTTGGTATTTATTTATTTATTTTATTTATTTATTTATTTATTTATTTATTTATTTATTTATTTATTTATTTATTTATTTATTTATTTATTTATTTATTTATTTATTTATTTATTTATTTATTTATTTATTTATACATTGTTGAACAGGTTAAACCCAATTACAGAACAGGAGTACATTTGAACGAAAACAGTTTAACAAAAAGCACATGCTCCTAAGGGTTAAACCGCTAAGGTCAAATGTAACTACCAGTATTTTGGAAACGAGTTCCAATCACCAAAAATTTCATTGATTTCGACATAATTTCCTTTGAATTATCTATCAAATGTCGGTGAATATTTTTCGAAATTTTTAAAATACATAATCTATCAAATAACCGAATCTCGGAAAAAAGCGCAAAGGAAATAAGCGCACAGGAAATATCCGCACAGAAAAAAGCGCACAGACATATAAACGCACAGGAAATAAGCGCACGTGGAAAGATGCGCACACGGAAAAAACCGCACACGGAAAAAACCGCACGGGTATAAAAGCGCACATGGAAAAAAGCGCACATTGAAAAAAGCGCAAAGTACATGCAGTTTATATCTCGTTAAGAATAGGATACAGAACAACTGAAGATTCTCTGAATAAAAATAAAAAAATTAAGTTCTATGAATACATAATCAAAAATTATATCGGTATGAAAAGTAACCACCAAATATGCGGACTTATATCACAGATATTATATGTTAAAATTAACCCAACAAAATGTTTACAAAAAATTTAAAAAGTACCACAATAAAAAAAATCATTTTATACAATTTAAAATTTTATTATTTCCTTTGCGCTTTTTTCCGGTCACCCAAATAACCTAATCCATTGTAATTTTTTTGAAACTATGTCGAATTTGGCAGGTATAGACGATCGATAGAAAAATCGTTAATATATTTTTTATTATTTTCGAAGCAAAAATTATCCATCAGTTCTAAATTGGCGAAACTACAGAAAAAAAATAGATGCGAACTCTATAACGGTGACCCTGCATATTGAAATATACTTATTTTGTATTTTTCATTTTTATGTTACATAAGGCAAATCGGGAAAAGTTCATTTAAAAAAATTCAAATAATTTCGATAATCGTCAATCACTCTTAAAATTAATTTATTCCATACATATGGATTCTACTATATATAAATAGTATTTAATGACATTTAATATTCTTCAGTTACAGTTACGATTTAACCCATACACTCCAATACAATTTAACTAGTCCTAAAAGGTTCGCTCCAAATAGTGAAACGGAAGAAAAAGAATTTAACTTGAATGATGATGATCTTTCTTCGTCTGTGATATCAAATTCTTCGAACTCCGAAACCCAGAATTTCGGCGTCAGAACTCAACCGCACAAGAAATTTGTTTGGAATTTGCATTTATTAAGGTAGGAAAAGCCGTTTAATATTTGTTTTAAACCTCAAATGACGCGGTTGCACAAAGGGTGAATTCTATGTTGATAATTTTTTTTAACTGTGTATAGAAATCATTAAAATAAACAATTTTTTCAAATAACTGTATAAAAACTCTAAAATAAGAAATTAATTTCAAAATGTGTATATAAATCGTTTATTCCATTAAAAAAGCGGGTCTAGGAATATTGACCGCTAGCAGTTTACCGCCCTAGCAATTGATCGCCTAAGCAATTTATAGCCTACAATTGACTGCCAGCATATTTATCGCCAGAAAATATGTCGGGTCTTTTTAAAATGAATTAAAAATGTTTTCATGACGTCGTGCGGTATGGATAATCCACTCGAGTTGTACAGTATATTGTTTCTACGACCCACTAACGAAAAATCTACAAATTTAAAAAATTATTTAATGTTATTAAGATAAAATAAATAATTTTAAAATAAAATATAACTTTTACTAATTTATAAAATAAAATAAACCTAAAAAAGAAGAAGATTTAATTTTATTAGTCCCCCTGCCCAGATTCGAACCCGGCCCTCTCACGTGGAAGATAGATGCCGTTTCCTCATTTCCACCTCCACTTTTATGATTTTAGTTTTAATACTCTTTTTAAATTAGTTTCATATAGTTTGATTAAAATTTAAGATTTTTCAAAATGTTAACCAAATAAAAATACTATTATTTATCGATTTTACATAAAAATTACTCATTTTAATGTATATTTAATCTTAGAAACTAAAAAGTATACTGACAACTAGTTTAACAGAATCGTCACTTATTTAAAATTTTAAAAATAGTAGTAGTTGGGTATCCAAAATATGAACTGTGATTGGTGGATTTCATTTTTTTTTTCAGTGTTCTGACTACCTAGAATGGATATGAAATATATTCATTCCGTTGAACGCAATAGCATACTTTTTCATTTTGTAGTCTGTGCGTAGATAAGCCGATATCCATGTGGGTGTAGAAAAAAATCATTGAAAAACAGGATCTCAAATTTGGGTATTTTACAGGAAATTTCAAGGAAAAGCTAACTAATGTTCTTAAGATTGAGGCTTTTATAAGAAAATAAGTTAAAAATCATTTAAAGGGGGACGTATTTCTGCTTGTGTATACTCGTTGTAACTTCTACTCTGTCCCCCCATGGTCATCCCCATGTTTTTTTACAATAAAACATCCTGCATATTATCGCATTTTTGTATATTTCTCTATTATTCGATTCAAAAAATGTATACCTGAGATGTAAAGTGAATCTTTTAGAAGTTGCGTTTTCAGCTTTTTTTCCCTTTCCTTCCTTTTTTCAGTTTTTTTCCTAAGACCTTACCCTTTACATTATTTTAAAAACAATAAGACCGTGCTGATTGTTTTGTTATTTGAATCTTGCACAAACGAAATTTCCTACGTGTGATTTTTTCACCATATGGCAGTTGAATTTATTTTTATTTAGACCCATCCAAGACACTTGGCATATAAGTAACTTCCATTTTTAGCTATAACTACTTTTTAAACAACCAACAATAAAAAAAACATTTTCAATTTAAAATTACCAATAAATGTATACAGGGTGTTCCATAAGTACGGTACATAACTTCAGGAGCGTTTTCTGGAGCTAAAATAAATGTATTTTTAACCGACTTCAAAAAAGGAGGAGGTTCTCAATTCGTCGCAATATTTTTTTTTAAATATGTTTAGCGATAATTCTTTAACACGGTGTTCGATTTCAATGATTCTTTTTTTGTTAGAAAGGGGGTACTTAGGGGTGGTCCTATATACATTTGGTTAAGATGTGGTAATGGCATCTGCACGCTTTTGAAGTCGGTTTTTTTTAATTTTTATTTTCTAATACTTGTTGTCTCAATAATGCTTCGTTACGGAAATACAGGGTGTAAAAGTTTCATAAAAAAATACAATTTTTTAAATATTTCCAAAACCATTTAAGATATTTTAATTAAACTAATCGCTGAAAAATATGGAAGGAAAAACACTTAGAAATATTCAAAAAATTGTATTTTTTATGAAATTTTCACACCCTGTACGAGGGCTGTCTTTTAAGTTTTGCATATAGACCTAGAATAAAACAGCAGATAGTATTCTCCACAAAGATTGATGCTCTTTTGCATGCGCTCGAACCAGCTCTAAAAGCAGTTATTCCACTCCTCGGGTGTCACAGCTCCAATGGCTGTTTTGAATGCCTCAACTGCACCTTCTCATGACTGGAACCGTTGCCTTCGGAAAGGTATAAAAATCGTTGGAACTTAGGTCGGGACTGTAAGTAGGGTGGTCTAACGACTCGACGTTTTGTTACTCTAAGAAGGCAATTGTTTTGCGAGCTGTGTGCGCACTTGCATTGTCTTGATGGAGGATGATTCGTCGTTTGGGGTTGGTCTCCCGAAGCTTGGCGATGACTGCTGGCAAACAAATCGTTATATACCAATCGGCACACTTTTGTCAGCTTGTATTCACCTTGGAAAATCCAAACAGACGATTGGCTTTTATTTTCATATGAGTAAATCCATGATTCATCGCCACTTGAGATGCAGCACATGTTTATTGAGTTTTCAGCGTTGAAGCGTTCCAGAGTTTTTTGACACCAATTTACCCTAGCTTCTTTTTGTTCCTCGGTCAACAGATGCGGTATCCAACGGGACACTAATTTTTTTTACTCCCAATTCTTCATGCAAAATCTTTTGGATTGAGGTCTTTGAAATACCTAACGATGCTTCAATCTCGCGATATGTCACATGCCGATCTTCCTCGGTGAGCCTGCGCACAGCATCAATGGCTTTCTGGGTGACTACCGATTTAGGTGAACCTGTTCTTGGCTCGTCACTAAGATTAACCCGTCCTCGTATAAATTCTCCATACCAACGAGAAATTGTCGATTGTTGTGGTGCATCACTACCGAAAACAGAAACCAACTCGGCGAGGCATTCTTGTTGAGATAATTGTCTTCGAAAGTTGTAAAAAATTATGGCACGAAAATGTTCTCAGTTTAAATCCATTTCTTGAATAACTTGTCAACTTTGAAAATTCGGTGTAACTACAACACTCGATGAATCGAACTGAAACTTGGAAGTGAGGTTAACTGAAGGCGACAGTTTATTTTTATTAGAGCCGTTTGATTCGTAATGCCCTCTAATGCACGGTATGCAAAACTTAAAAGACAGCCCTCGTATTTCCGTAACGAAGCATTTTTGAGACATAGTGTATATGACAAAAATAACCTTTATTTTAGCTCCAGAATACGCTTCTGAAGTTATGTACCGTACTTATCAAAGACCTTGAATATATGATTTTATGTATATATGGCGATAAATGTGCTAGCGGTCAATTGTAGGCTATACATTGCTTAAGCGATCAATTGTTACGGCGCTAAACTGTTAGCAGTCAATTGCTGACGGTTAATTGCGGGCAATCAATTTTCCGGATCCCAAAAAAAAAAACAATTTTTTTACATGTCAATACATGTCTTCACATTTAAAATAAAATACATAAGTATAGTGTCAACATGCCAACATAAATTAACAAAAAATGATCGTTACATTTAATATAAAACATAAATTAACCTAACCTTATAGATATGGAAAAGTAGATAACCTGTAGGAAAACTTAATTAAGTTCGATGTAGGTGCAGTAATGAGCTGGTCAAATGTAAAACCCTTATAAATAGGTAATTGTAATTTGTCATTGAAAATATTCATGATCAAAGATTGGAGAAAAAACTTTAATGTGATATTATATTTTAAATCACTATATGTTCTACACGCACATGCAAATCCAGATCTTGTTTTACATTAGATAGTAATTTATCTAATGATTTTTGAAAAAAAATGGGAATGGGTACAATTTTGCAGTGAATAAATTTTGTTAGAAAATTCTTCAATTTCTAATTTGACCCTTTTCCTCAAGGTATTTGAAATGTTCCATGCACATTTTGTTACTTCAAAATTTTAAATACAGTGGTTCTTCCTACTTCTGTATACCTACAACACATTTCCACTAGTTCGCCCTTATTTTTCATTGGATTATCTTCAGCCAAAGTGGAAAAACATTTCCCATTGTTTTTTTTTTAAATAGTGGGGCATTATTATAAAAATCAAATCCTTCCTGTGTTAAATTATTTATTTTTCATAAACCAGATCTTCAAAAAAAGGTCTCAGCTGCTACAAGCTGTCCCCTCGTGTCAGGGCCCAGGGGATTTTGCCCCCCTCCCCCTCTCGTCGGGTCTGGGCACATCTAGTTTCATTTAAATAATAATCAGTAATTTCAAATCAACGACAAAATTCGATCAATTTGAATTCAAAATTCCTAAACAGAGATAAATAATGCAACAGCTCAAAAATAAAATGTGACAAAAAGGATTATTTGCGTTCTACGTCAATAAACAATAGTTTAGAAATATATGAAATATATATTATGTATTTTATATAAATTATGTGCATACCTTTTCATATTAAATTTAATGGTGTGCACAACCCATTAACTCTCAAACAGAGTTTCAATTTTAGTACAATATGACAAGCAGCGAGGAAATATCACTCTCTTTTTCTCTGTGGTCACTCGTTATTTTGTAATAAATTGAATTTTCTCAATTTTGTCTTTTCTAAGGATAAAAATATAGTGCAGCAGATCATATCGCCGCGCTGCTAGTCGCACTGCAATGGTTAAACAATATTAATTGAACGCACAAACAATAACATACCGGAGTAATGCATCTAGCCATGCACACAAATTATTTTTCGGCAAACAGCTCCATTATTGGTTATCTGACGGTTGGCATATTAAAATTAAAAGACTGACAGTAGTCTCGGCAACTTTCACGGTAATGCAAAAGGCTAGCTGCGCAGCGACGTAACTGCTCCACAATGTTTCGACACTTAAAAACAAAATCATTACATTTTCAGCGATAACGTTAAAACGGAACTCCATCCGGACTGGTTACTGTACATAATCCACGGTTTCATTGGTCAGTCGAACATAAAAGTCTTCGGCCGTTCTATATTCGTTACGCTTATAGCCCGACGATCTTGCAGATACGCGGGAACGAGGTTCCTAAAACGAGGTGCAAATTTTCAGGGCGACGTCGCCAATGAGGTCGAAACCGAGCAAATGGTGCACGATACTAGCACGTTATTTTTCAACAAAAGTCACTTTACTTCGTTTGTGCAAATGAGAGGCTCGATACCAGGTTGGTTAAGTTTCTAATAAATACGTTTAAATTTACTAATTTCAAAAAATGCATAATAGTCGGTTAGTGTAGTTTTTATTACGACAGTTTTTATTATATACATCATACATACTAATCAGAGCTGGGCAAAGCCCTCAGTGAAAGGGCTTGAGGCTGTTAGCTCTAAGCCCCTTTTCAAGCACAAATTCCTTTTTATCTTCAAAAGTGCTTTCCAAGCTCAAAGCCCTCAAAGTGCTTTGTGCTTGGCAAGCGCAAAGCCTTCAAAGTGATTTTAATAGTGCTTGAAGCACATCAAAAGTGCTTAGGGTGCCTTCAGAAGTGTTTAAAGCACCTAGAAAGTGCTTGAAGCTCTTTAAATGTGCCTAAAGCCCTTTAAATGTGCCTAAAGCCCTTTGAATGTGTAATAAAATTATCAAAATCTCAGAAACTACCACATACTTCCGTCATCAGCTTAATGCTGTATAATACATATAAAAATATTAAAATAAAACAATATTATTACTTGTTTATATTTACCTATGTTTATTACAAGAAGAACTTAAAATAATATTCTTTGACTGTTTCCAGACAAATTTATCGTCAACCAAAGATTCTAGCATAGAATCTTAATTTTGAGATGAAATGTTGGGATTGTAACCACTTATTGATTTTACAGCCTCAATTACATTTTTTTGCAATTCATAAATATTTCTCAATGAGACTGAACCAAAAGAGCTTCAAGCCCATTAAAAGTAATTGAAGCTCATTGAAAGGGCTTGAATTACTTTTTTCAATTAAAAATTACCAATCACTTTTTAGAAGTAATTGATTTGACAAGTCCTAATTACAAGTTTACAAAAGGGCTTAGATCATAGGGCTTAGATCATAGGGCTTTCAAGCACTCTTATAAGCACAAAACACTTAAGCCATGCCCAGCTCTGATATCAATATGGCAACGCTGTCCACCCAGACGCCCCTTACTAAGAATAATCTCTTTTGTGTCGGGTTCTGTGAATGAGCCTACAAATTTACAATTTTAATTGGATTTTAGAGATCACTCTTGTTCTTTCTTCTCTGCTGTTTCCATTTTGATTTATTCGTTATTAACTGCTGTACTACATTTTCCGGGGTTAAAGGGAGTAAGTATATGTCTTGAAAGGTTCGTGGCCTGAGAGAATCTGTGTTAGAAGATAATTTGTTTTCCTCTAGGTGCATTTAACACTCTTCTACTCTTGGTATTATTTTCTTAGTCCAAGCAGCTGTCACAAATTAACCAACAAATTGATACTGGTATATCAATAATACTCTTTATACATAACCCATATTAATTGTTAATGTGTCAAACTGTCAATAATTTACACCTGGCCGACTGTAAATTGTTCAGGGGAGTATGTGAATCAACCCTTATTTAATTAATGTTTAAGGTCATTGGAAGCAAGAAATGGGCAAGATGGTGGCCAAACCGGCAATAACTATCGACTTCTACGATCCTTTTGCCGAAACGGCCGGCGCCCATTTCAACGAGCTATTGAAACGCTACGGCGCGCCCATAATAATTTTAAATTTAGTCAAGCAGCGCGAACGAAAAAAACAAGAACGATTGCTGAGCGACGAACTCAGCTCGGCCGTTAAGTATTTGAATCAATTTCTGCCGTGCGAACATCAAATTATTTACAAAACTTTCGATATGGCCAGAAAGAATAAGAATCACTTGGTCAACGTGATGGATCATTTGGCCGAAATCGCCCGACTGGCCGTCACGAAAGTCGGAATATTCCAGAACAAACCCAAGTTTTTTAGTCAACGAGACAGCACCGTTGTGGGACAAAACCAAAATGGATTCGGCTGTTTGCAAACTGGTATCATAAGAACGAATTGCGTGGATTGTTTGGATAGGACCAATACCGCGCAATTTGCTATTGGTAAATGCGTATTAGGTAAGTGTTCTATTTCTTCTGGGTTAATCAAAATACCTTTCAGGTATTGAATTGGGATCATTTTGCTTCCTGGGCCCATTTCGTATAGTATTTTCTGTTCCCGGCTAGTGCTTCATATCTATGAAAGTTTTCCCCTTATCAATGCCTTCTTTTCAATTTTGTTCATCTTGATTTTCCTCTTTCCATTAGTTTTCTCGTTATTCTCTCCGGTTTCATTCTTACCAGGTGTAGTTTTTGGCTATTTTTGTCAATATTAGTTGTTTAATTAGGTTTCTTAATTATTTCTTTATTTTTTATCTCGTACCTATGTTTTTGTTTGTCCTATCCATGTACGTTTTGCCCTAGACATTTATTCATCTTTGAAGCCACGCTGCTTTCCCTACTTTTATATACTGCCTATGGCAGGGGTGCACAACATACGGCCCGCGGGCTAGATGCGCCCGCCAGTGTCGTTTTGGCAGCCCGCCGGCCGTTGAACAGTTTGACCCGTCTACGTCAAATTATACATTTTTCAGTAACAAACTTAACAAACCTACTAAACTTAACAAACTTAACTTAACAAACTTAACAAACTTAACAAACTTAACAAACTTAACAAACTTAACAAACTTAACAAACTTAACAAACTTAACAAACTTAACAAACTTAACAAACTTAACAAACTTAACAAACTTAACAAACTTAACAAACTTAACAAACTTAACAAACTTAACAAACTCAACAAACTTAACTTAACAAACTTAATAAACTTGCATTTTTATTTATCATTTTTTTTTTTTTAGAAATCTGAACCGACTATTGTAGGCTCGGGCCTCTCTTGGCGGCCCTCGTACAGTTACGGTTTTTCAAATCTGGCCCTTTGAAAATCTGAGTTGTGCAGGCCTGGCCTATGGGTTTCTTGAAGTTTATGTTCATTTAATTCCTCTGTTCAAATAAGTTAAAAAACTTTTTATAGGTTACCAACTGTGCGCTCTAGGTATTCTGGACACTCCTGATCTAGAATTCGACACAGACTGCGTACGAATGTTAGAATCTCTTTACGAAGATCACGGTGACACGTTGGCTCTTCAATATGGCGGCTCGCAACTTGTACATCGCATAAAAACGTACAGAAAAACGGCACCTTGGACGTCGCAAGGCAACGACATAATGCAGACGTTGAGCCGATATTACAGTAACACATTTTCCGATGCCGAGAAACAGAATGCGATTAATTTATTTTTGGGACTTTTCCAACCGGAGGAGGACAGACCTCAAATATGGGAGTACACGACCGATTATTATTTTCATCACAAACCGATTTTGTTTAGTTTGAAATCACTCACGCAATGGTGGGATGCGGGGGTGGTGAAGAGTTTGCCTTATGCTTATAATGATTTGACCAAGGCCTGTTCCGAATTAATACAGGTAAGAATTTTTAATAAATAATTGCTTATATTAGAGTGTATTCTTTTATTTAACTCATCCTTTAAATGTGTAATGTTGTATATTTTAAGACACAATTTTGGAGGAAACACATTTTTGTTAAAAACATGTTACCTACAGGTTATCACATATTACCACTCTTCTTAAAACTATTAAATGGCCAGTGTATTTGAGTAACAACTCATTTCACATGGTTTTGCTAATATTTTAACAGTATAAGTTATAACTATTCAATGTTAAAATTCCAGATTAGTATGTATACCTTAAATAGTCAAATTTTACTTTTTAAAACATTAACAAGACACTTTTTATCGATTTGAAGTCGTAAAAAATTATGATAATTATTTTAGGTGCATTCCCAGGACGCTGAAATGATCGACACTTACGTCGAGTATTATAGACCATACGAACTAACTATGTTGAGCGATGTGTTCGCTTTGCAACTATCCAATTCCATTAGAGATTTTATGCCCAATTTTACGACGAATTACAGTCCTTTCACGTTGCGAATTAGACCGGTGAGACGTAGGGAAGAAAACGCCAGTAAATCGAACGCTACTGCTATGAAAAATCCGTCCGTTACTGGACAGAGTTCGATGAGTTCAACAGCATCAAGTACTAGGTAAAAAATAGCTGTATATATTCCCACACACAATTTTTTTTAATACATTAAAACTGATATTTTAAAAAATACCGGATGGAAAGAAGTAAGAATTGTCTGTTGGTTCAACGTTTCCCTTTTTTGAAGTCTTGTAGTTTTGATGAATTACTTGTAAATAAGTTCCCCGAGAAATTAATTTGTTTTTTTACAGTAATTTATTCAAATGTTGATGTATGCAACTTGTTTTCAATATAAGAAATTTCAGAATATATTTATTTTTGTTCAAAACTGCATTCTCTTAACTCTTGCAGTTGTGAACTTTATGAGATTCGATAATGGAATTCTCATTAAGAATATTTTTTAAATTAAACTATAATCACGCCTACTCTTTCCAGTTCTGGTCAATTATTTTATTTGCACGCCTTTGTTTTTTAGCGGTTTTTTTATAAAAGCGAACTAGACAGTTTTAGATGACTTATAAACTTTCGAGGAGGTACATATAGTACTGAATATTTAAGTTTTTGTTCAGTTCTAGTTCTGAAAACGAAGATTCGTACGAAGACGAAGAAAGTTCGAACACAGAGTCGCCGGCTTTGTCTTCGAAAGATGCTTCTCCTGAACCGATCACGTTCAGAACTTTGTTTCCTACCATGAAAGAAGTGTACGGCACCGAATTGAAGGAACCTAGCGAAAATGACATGAAAATATATAAAAAGTAAGTGTTTTTTAAATGTTTATTTATAAAATATTGAACCTTGTAAATTATGTGATTGTAGAAAATCTTACAGTGGCTAAGACCTCTATCATATACTATTGTGGTTTTTATCTTTACTAATTTGACCAAGCTATATCTTCTAGAACGTTAACGATAATTTGCAAGTAGGACACAATTACGTTTACATTATTTCCAGTTATCTTGAGTTTTTTAATATTTTTTAAGCAAATCAAGTGTTTAAAATAATATTTAACACATTTTAGTTGTTTTCCTTCGATTTTTTTGCTATTTTTGTGCTTTAATTAGATATTTTGACAATTTTTTTTTAGCTAATTTTAATTAATTTGCTCTTTAGCATTTTAACACTTGAAACGACTAATTCAACGAATTTCTGTATCACAATATTATTTAATACTAAACACGTGTTCTAGTATTTGAGCAGAATTACGTTTTTTGAATGATATTAAACGCTTTTTGGTTGTTTTTTATTTTTCTCTATTTTGGATTTTTCACACTCTTAACGAATTTTAATTATTTCGCACTTATTTACGTACCAATTCAATGTTTTCGTAACTGGATAACGTTGAAAAATTAAAATAGTTTTTACTTCTCATTTGTGGTTTCCCGAATATTTATTTGTTTGTTTCTGTCTAACGATTATTTCTGGGATGAGCTTTTAAATTATCTATAGCGGGTTTATCCCCTTAAGTGTTTAAAGACATTTTTATTTAAATTATTTTTTAGATACGTCGATATAGGAAGAAGAGTACCATTCGGTAACGCTAAAAGTTATTTCGAAACAATTTCCAGCGATAAATTCTCGAAGGTTTCGTCTAAAGATTCCTGTTTCCAAGTAACGCCACCCTCCGTTTCTGCAGCATCAATCGAGCTTTATAGAAAATATATAGACGTGGGAAAACATGGCGGATTTACGCCGAAATCTAGTGATATAAGTATTTATGAAAGATATACTAAGTATAAATAAAAATAATAGTCTGTAGGTATATTTAACTGTGATTATAGTTCGTCTTTATAAAATTTAGAGCAAATTGCTCTCAGTGTAATATATTAATGCATATCATTATGTGAGAGATTAAAACAGTTTTATTTTTTCCCTTCGGCATGCATTTGGTCATCTTTCCTTCTTTTATAGATAGTTAATATCTTGAAATAAATAAAATGTCTTTGTTAATATCGGTTATTCTAAGTATCTATTTAATAGAGTAACATATAAAAAGAAAACAAAAATAATTTAAAAAAATATTTATTTAGCTTTAGAGATCATTACATGTTTTCAAAAAGGTTTAAAATACAAAATACGTATTAGTCCAGTCAAATTTAAATAAATATATTTTGGAAAATTAATGTTTCCGTCTTCTGGTGCAGTCATAACATTTTTTTTAAACATCGAGAGACCTAACAGACCCTAATGATATCAGCGACTATTTTATTAGTGTCTTCAAGAAATCTGATTACTGTTTGCAGGAAATACATTTTTACTTGAATAATATATTTAATAATAACAAATTAACTCCAGTGGATCAGAATACAATTCTTAAAGTTATAAATTCGATTAAATCAAATGTTACTGATAATGATGAAGTATTACTTTATATTATCAAGCTGTCTATGCCGACGATCCTTGATCATATTACCCACATTATTGGTTTACCCACATTATTGGTTACAGTACGGTTACTTTCCGAAATAGTGGCGAGAATCAATAGTTTTTCCCATTCCTAAAAGAGCTAATCCTAATACAGTATGTGAATTACGTTCAATAAGTTTTTTATCTGTCTTATCCAAAATACTTGAACAAGTTGTGTATATACATTTCTATGACTATGTCACAAACAATATCATACCCACTCAGCAGTCTGGCTTTTGCAAAAATCATAGTACTACTTCTGCGTTATCAAATCTAACTGACAATATTATAAGATCTATCGATAAAAAATTGGATGTACTACTAATTACACTAAACTATTTCAAAGCCTTTGATTTAATTGACAACGACTTACTTTGTACTAGAGATGGGTAAAGTAAGTGATTTTTAAGAAGCAGTGACAATGGCTTCTGCTACGACAAAAAAGCAGTGACAAAATACTGCTATTTTTCGGAGCAGCTTTTAGATATTTTTTTATTTCACACGTAAGATAGCAATAAGTTTGTTATGGCTATTCAGGTTAATTAAAGTTTTTCTATCTATAAATTAATGACTAGTGTTAAACCCTAGCTTTATTTACGCTGTAGGCTTGACGTATACTGCCTTCGATCATGGTGGACTGTATTCAAATTAGATTATCTGGGCCTTATGCTCCATCCTGTAACCTCTGGAAGATATTCTTGAAGTTATAGTTGAAGCACTGGGTGTATTAAAATAAAATCATCACCTTACATTTGATTTTGGTATATTCACTGCTTGATACATTCACATTTTATACATATACAACTTTTTTTGTTACCCATAATTATTAATAAGTTACATAGTCTTAACTTTGTATAAAATCAAATCACAAAATGCTTGGAATGGTTACCGCCCATTGCCGGCTTTTTAATTTTTATTTTGTAACTTGTTGCTTGTTCGAAAGAGAAAGCGAAAGTGATTTTAGTTTTGTTCTACGTTGCTTCTCAACCCACAACGGTTTTTTACCTTTCTTCTAATTGACTCTCTTTACTCGTATGTTCTTGCACGCGAGACCATTGCTTTTAGGATCTGTCTTATGATTGGGTGAAATGTCTCGCGTGATTATTTTTAACTGTATCTTGAGGCGGCCAGTGTCGTTGAAGATTCTTTGAAAGTTAAAAGGGGTTGATATTGAACAGCTTTGGATATTATTGGTTTATACAGGGAGTGTCTATTTAGTATTTTATTCTTTTTTATTTGTTAAATGCGGAGGTTTATACAGGGAGTGTCTATTTAGTATTTTATTCTTTTTTATTTGTTAAGTGCGGAATAGGACATGTTGAATGTAATTTCAACAACTAGAGATAATAATTTCGTATAAAACAAATTTTATTCCATTGAAGATTACTTGGAAATTACCAAATACACCTTACAGCCAGGGCCAAAATAAATATTATTAATTTCTTCTTTCGTAGAATATGAACATATATCGTTGTGTCTCTACTCGGAACCTGCTCCGAAAAGTAACACCTTTTCGGTGAGGCGTGGAGAACTTTGCTCCAGTGACAAAACCTGCTACTGTGAAATAGCAACCTATCTCTACTTTGTGCTAAATTAAAATACTATGGCTTAGATGACACTACACTATTATATTTTAAGTCCTATCTATGGAAACGTATGCGTTGATGGTATCTTTTCAAATTCCAATTTTATTGTCTCGGATGTGCCTCAAGGATCCCTGCTATTCTTTATATATACTTCAGAGTTGCCAAAAGTTGTTAAAAATAGTGAAATACATTTGTATGCCGACGATAAAGAGATTGTTTATTCCATGCAGATATTCCAAATAACAATATAAATATGGATTTAGATGCCATTTTTCAATTTTCCAGAGAACATAACAATCAATCCATCTAAAATGACAGCAATATTATTTTGTACTAAAGCTAAAAGAAATATATGTGAAGGTTCTTTAAGGCTCGAGTTGGATGGAGTTAGAATATATTTATCTGAGAAAGCCAAAAATCTAGGATTAATCATATACGAATCACTAAGATTCAAAGACTATATTAAAATGTTACTTCAAAGATTTTATGTAAAAATACGTATGTAATATGCCAACAAGCATATCTTAAACTTCGAAAAGTGTAAAAAACTTTGTGAATTTTCGGTTTTCTCAGTTCTAAACTACTGCATTATAGTTTATTACCCTTGCATTGATAAAACCTCATAAAACCAGCGTCTACAAAACATATATTTTTAATCTGAGGAAATATGATCACATATCCTTTAACATTAATGAATTTAAGTGGTTAAAAGTTAATAATTTATTTCAGCTACATTTTGTAACTTTTTTTGTACCGTTTATTTAAAAATAAATTTCCTTTATATTTGTCTGAAAAGGTAATTTTTAGAAATGGCGTCCACAATTGTAATATCTGATTTAATACTCTTACCATGCCACACCATTCTACTGCTCTGTTTGAACGTTCTTTTACCTATAATTTAGTTAAGTTTTATATTTTGTTTCAACATCTTATGTCTCTTGCTTCCCTCAACAATTTTCTTTACACTACTAAAAATAAACAGGCAATAAATAATTGTTTTCTGAACATTTAATTTAAATTCTATATTTTTTCGCTTAACTACTATTGCCTGACAACTCTTTTAATGCTTTTGTTCATTTCTAATTACTTTTTTTTATTTATTTATTTTTCTCTTTTGTCAACCAAAAAGTTTGAGAGTTAAAGAGTAGCTTCAGCTACATTCTCACGTTATTCAGAAATTTAGTTAATTTTCGCGGTACTGGCAGAAAACAGTACTTAAATCCTGGCAGTAACGAGTAAAATAGTAAGGAAGGATGGTTACACCAGGTCAGTTAACGGGGATCGTTATCCAAGATGGTTCCTCGACATTAGTATTTACCAGTGGTGTATCATATTTATATTGTTTGAAAGTGTGATATAACTACATATATGTATCATTGACCCTGTCAATGACAACAGGTCTACAGGTTTGTCATATCTAAAGTGTCAGTTCCCACTTATTAGCATTTTGACAGGTCGTTGGAATGCCTAATTATGCATTAATGAAAATTTTATGTAAAATACATAATACTTAGACCTATAAAATGAATGGTGTTACGATAATGTTCTTACCGATGAAAACTAGTTTTCAAAAAGTCGTTTTTAGTAGTCTTTGAGCTTCTACAAGCATTACCATTGCATTTATTACTATATTTAATGCACTAAGATTGTGTATTATTGAACTAAAATTAGATTTTATATATTAATTATTCTATTATCGACTAAAAATGGTTCAACAACTAATAACTTGCAAAGTATAATACAAAAACCAACTTTTAAATGAAACATAAACAATCAATGATTCATAAACCGTTAACCAAAATGGCCGACTTTGTCACCTACGTTTCCTGTTTCCTGTTGGAAATATAGCACACACTCCTTCCTTACTACTTTATATTCTAAAAGGTTCAATTCTAGGGTCTATACTATATCGCACCTCTTTTTGAATAGTGCCATATCCCTAAAAAAAATTAAATTAAATTTCTTTGCTCAACGTATACATTATAAACATGCCTACAATATATAAAAGTGCCATGTCAATAGTTCTAATAAATTCCGCGCGAAGCGCCATCAACAGTACTGCAATATCAAATAACATTTTTTTGTTTTAGGCTATCTGTGTAGATTTCACATTACATTACATGTATCATTAATCAGTAGAGGCATCTTTAATCAGTATGTATACCGAATTAGGTAAGCACAAGTACTGAAAATTCTGCTCAAAAAAATATTACATCCAGAATCGTTTTTGCACAGGTGGTTTTTGTTTTGCTTCTCCTGTAAAATAAACATTTATAAGGTTGTAGCAGTTTTGAAACAGGAATGCGATATGTCAAACTGTCAAAAATATTAATTTGCCTAACTGCTCTGTCGTACCTCGTCTCAAATCTTCTACCGGTACCTCCAGTGGACTTTTCGATGGATATTTTTTTAGTGCCTACTATTACGTCATCTTCAAATAAAAGCAATAAAAGTAAACTAAAAAACCTATTTAATTGCATAATTTACCTATTACATTTCATTTTTCAAATTTACCTGAAATGTATGATCCAAACGACACTATTCCATTAACAATCTAAAAAAAATAGTTATTTAAATTGAAAATAACTAAATAAATAACTAAAACTTCAGTAACTTATTCCTTTAGAGCTACTTTAAACGTACTGAGTTTGATTTGAACGGATTAGTTTATTCCAGTTTGTTCTAAAATATATCACACACCTGAAATGAACCGTTATCAAAATAGTACAAAATAAATAGTGGAAAGATTTAACGGATATACAAAGTTGAGCTCGCTAACGATCTCAGCCATGAAGGCGTATGTCAAGTTAATTATCTAATAAAATGTGTAACATTAGCTTTTAACAATGACTCTTTTTAAAACACTTTGTCATTGAGCGTTCCACCGCTGCTGCATCTGCATCAAAGTATTTCCTTCTTCCACAAGGCAAGAATGGTATGGCACTAACTCCTCTTCCATACCAACTCAGATTATTGGCAAGATGCTACCTTCAGTCCTGCTTTGCTTCTGTTGATAAATGGCGCTGACAAATGCAGGAAAAGAAACGACAGTCTTAACTTTGCAGTGCTATCGAAACTCGACGTAAGTAAGAGATTGACAACGTTGAGATTGTGACGTCTCTTTTTCTGCATATTCGAACGCCATTTGTTACATATTCACTCAAATACAAACAAAACAGTACCAAAGATTTGATCTTGCCAGCACTAATTACATAAATAGCCTATTACTGGACGATTGTTTTGCTTTACAAACCTGCGCTACTATCATTATGTAACAGTGGGATTTTAAGATGTTCTGCTGCCATACTAAATCTCTGCTGATCGAATCCAAGCAAGATCTTGAAAAAGAGTTTGTCGAGTTGCATTCTTTCTGAAATTATTTTGATATATTTGAGTTATTGAAAAATATTTAGTTTTAGGTACTCCCAGACTTTTTTAATTATGTGCAAAATAATAAAAATAGGAAAAGATAACGAGAATTAAGTTTATAGATACATATATTATATAGGTATGTTTAGGATTTGGCGTAACGTAATTTGTGTTCCAATGACAGTTGATTTTTAACAAAAACAAACCATTCTGTCCCTGAAATTTTTAGGTTTTTTAAATATTGTTTACAGGTCGTAAAAAAATAGTTATGTAATCAAATTATTTTAAATACATTAAAACAATCTTGAAAATAATAAAGCACTTAATAAAATATATTGCTGCCATTTGTCATTGGAATATAAATTACGTCATCACTAATATAGCGTATACTTAGGTAATTTTCCCAAGAACAGAACCAAGTCTGGACGCAAACATAATGCTTGGGTGGATTTTTATCCACCCTAGGAAAGATTAGATACATGTAAAAAACTATTGAATTACTGTGTGTGTGAAGGGAAAAAGGATGGCATTGGATAAACCATTTGCCACAGATAATTATTGAATTACTGGTTACCAAAACTTCAGAAAATAGAAATATTTGAAGAAAAATTATATTATAAAAAAAGGTTGGTAATTTTTTTCATTCTAGTTTTTGTTTTTAATAGTGCAGAGAGATTTAGCATAAATTAAAAAATATATAGTACAAGAATATTTCGTGGTATATGGAAATTTTTAGAAATGTATACTTTTCGATAGGTTTCGGAAATTTAAAATACGGAAAAAATGTCCTATTTGTGAAATTAATGGTTTAGCAGAATATCAGAAAGTTCAAAAATTATATAGCAAATATAGTACAAGAACATTTCGTGATAATTAGACTCTGGAAATGTGTAATTTTCGAGAGATTTGGGAAATTTATAATACAGGAAAATTTTTAATCAAATTGCGAAATTTATGATTTACCAATGTATCAAAAAGTATTTAGCGCAGGGAGATTTAGGGGAAATAAAAAAAATAGTACAAGAATATTTCGCGATAATCGGAAATTTTCAGATATGTGCAATTTTCAGTAGATTTGGCAAATTTATAATACTGAAAATATCAAAAAGTTAAAATATTTTATAGTAGTAATATTTAGTGGAATTTTAATATATTTTATTGTATTTATAGAAATAAAAAATTATATTACCTACCGTTAAATTTGACAAAAGATTATTTGCAAAATATGAAACGTGGACACAAATTTATAGTTTAGGAAAACTGAAAAATGTATAATACGGGAATTTGTAGCTTAAATTAGAATATTTACAGATGCGAAACTGATTTATGGTTTAAAATTAAAAAAATGTTATAGTACAGGAAAACTTTGCATCAATTTGAAAAACGTACAGGAATATTCAGGGTAAATTCGAATATTATAAAAAACAAAACTTTAATGTGCTGTAGATCCCATTTTAATGAAATATTCCTGTTAGTACTATGTTCTTCTGTATATTTTTGACCTTAATTTGTCTTTACTATTAATTTTCTATGACTATTTAATTTTCATTATCAGCGAAATTAAATTTAGAGAAAAAACAAAAATTTATAGTACAAGAAAAGTAGCACAATTATTGGTAGGCGATTCAAAATAGGAAATTTTCTGCATTTTTATTAAAACTCTTTTTGTAATATGTGACGTCTATTAACTTACATCATGACAGCAAGACAATGGTATTTTCAGTCCTACAATTTCCCAGTCAGTATAACTTGAAATTCCGCAGCATTCCAGATGGAGTTGCATGTTGTCCCATGTGCTTTTGTCATTTTCGCTGGTGTTGTATTTTAGAAACGTAAAGCTTATTGTTTTATTCAAATCTTCGTTTGTTAACGATGAATATAATTGCGAAACATTTGGGCTTATTTTCACGGAATACATTAATCCAACTGTTGATCCGGTTATCAACAAACCACTTGATAAAAATATTATTAACAACAACTAAAATGTATCATGTATTTGTAGTATAAGGTAATGTAAACATTTCCCGTTGATATATACAGTGTATCCCTAAAAAGAACGCTGGCACAAATTCACGAGGCTAAAGTTTACTTAGTTTCAAAAATGATAGTTTCCAAAATACAGGATGTCAAGTTATATTATTTCTTTATACTTTTATTTGTAAATATTTATCTTTATAATATGATCTTGGGGTTTTTTTCTATAGGATAAGAAATCGAGATCTGATCTCAATTTCAATGTACATTGCAGAGGGTGCCACATGTAACACACGCATCTAAAGCTTTATAACTTTTTTGTAACTCGATATATTGAATTTCTAGTAAAAAAATGCAATATACCGATTTCTCATCTTAAAAAATGGCCAACTATCAAATTTCCTGCAAATCATGCAACAATTAAGATAAATATTTAGAAAAATGTGAAGTGAAGTGAGAAAAATCTGTTGAGATCCGAATAACAAATACAATTTTGGAAATATGAAAATGAATAATGCCAAATTCCTCATACGAAATTTAAAAAAAATCATGCATATCTTCAAAGTGTAAACAAACCAAAAAGAAATTGAAAAAGCTGAGAATTAAAGAAAGAAAAAATGACAGCTCGAATCTAGAACCTTCGGACTGTTGCTGTCCATGCTGTTACCAGTTAAGCTATGAAGGCACACGGCTTCGACATCCGAATGTATAAAAAAAATAACGACACTCCTGTATTTTGGACTAAAGTAAATTGGGCTAGATTCTCATATTTGAGCTTGTGCTAGCGTTATTTACTCGAAATAATTTTAAGAGTATTACCAATAGAGTAAATTGGCGTCTTTTTTCATCATTATGAATCGACATGGCAATCCAAAATCCAGGAAGCAATATAAGAGCAGCAGGTATACTAAAGTATGGGATATCTACTCTGATATCCAACAAATAACTGTAAAATGATTTTTTAATTAATGACCATGTAGAAATTCCAATTAGAACTAGACTGGAACTCTAAAAAAAACACGATTAAATAAAATATGTATTTCAACATTTTATATGAGCATTGTTCTGTGATAAATATTGATGAACATTAGTGTTGCCAGTCTAGTACAATACTAGATCTAGTATATTATCTAATATGTACGTAAGATCTATGCTTTTGTTTTGCTCTTTAATGAAGCAAACCATCACAATTCGAATAATCTGGTACTATTATAGAATTTGATGAATTTTTTACACAAATCAGCAAAAAATATATTCTGACAACACTGGTTGTTTTGTGTTGTGCGTCGTTTTGTGTGCATTGTGCGTCGTTTAGTATGCGTTGTGGGTCGTTTTGTGTGCGTTATGCGTTGTTTTGTGTGCTTTGTGCGTTGTTTTGTGTGCATTGTAAGTTGTTTTGTGGGCGTTGTGCGTTGTTTTGTGAGCGATATGCGTTGTTTTGTGTACGTTATGCATTGTCTTGTGTGCGTTGTTTTGTGGGCATTGTGCGTTGTTTTATGTGCGTTGTTTTGTGTGCGTTATACATTGTTTTGCGTACGTTTTGTTTTGTGTGCGTTGTGCATTGTTTTGTGTGCGTTTTGCGTGCGTTGTGTCTTGTTTTATGTACATTGTGCGTTATTTTGTTTGCGCAGTGTGTTGTTTTGTGTGCGTTGTTTTATATGCGTTGTTTTGTGTGCGTGATTTTGCGTGCCTTGTTTCGTGTTCGTTGTTTTTTGTGTGCGTAGTGCGTCGTTTTGTGTGCGTTGTTTTATGTGCGTCGTTTTGTGTGCGTTGTTTTATGTGCGTCGTTTTGCGTGCGTTGTTAGTTGTTTTGTGTGCGTTGTGTCTTGTTTTATGTGCATTGTGCGTTATTTTGTTTCCTTTGTGCGTCGTTTTATGTGTGTTATGCGTTGTTTTGTGTGCGTTGTGCGTTATTTTGTTTTGTGTGCGTTGTGCGTTATTTTCTTTGGGCAGTGCGTTGTGCGTCATTTTGTGTGCGGTTTTGCGTGCGATGTTTTGAGTGCGTTGTTTTGTATGCGTTGTGCGTTGTTTTGTGTGGCTTGTGTTGCGTGCGTTGTTTTGCGTACGTTGCCTTTCGTGTGTTGTTTTGCGTGCGTTTTATCGGATCCATAGTTGAAAAATAGCACCCTACGGCCTATAGTGAACTGTTTACTGCTAGAGCAAGAGGTCTGAAAATGTTGATTTCTATAATAAAAAGAAGAAGTACATAACCTCTTATTGCCTCTTATCTATGATTATAAATTATAACCTATATGCATTTTGATTTATTTTTGTTCTATTTCTGAGTTTAAAATGATGTTAACTATATCAGAAGAAGAAAAGAAAAATATTTTTAAATGCCTTAACGAATTAAACATTTGTAATAGATGTATTTTAAGATATTTGGGATACAACATTTGTGAACATGGCATAGATACATTTTTGAATTCCGGTTGTATCATAAATGAGTTATTTCATATTGATGAAGAAAGTTGCAATGAGAATAAAAAATTGAAAAAGAATCCGTGCAGATCCTGTTTGAATGTACTGGATGATACAGTTATAGAAAATTATGCATCAGTTATTACAGACGAATTCGAAAAGTATGACATACAAAATTTCTATACAACTCTTAATTTTCCAGTTTCTATATCGATAAGAGAATTTGGAATGTTTCTATATTTGAAAGAGAAATTTCCTGATATATACAAACAATTTATTCATATTGAAAAAATAAAAAGAGTTTTTAGAACAATTACAAGCAATACATTTTCATTGAAACTTAAGAGGCCATTTAAAGAAGACTCCAACTTACAGTTGAACATTAACATCGTTTACCAAGATGAAGAAAAAGAAATGGAAAACTTAGTTAAGGTAATAACTGCTAAAAAAATAAGTAAGAAGACAATCGATGATTTTTTAAATTTGTGTTCAGATGAAGTTTTTAAAAAGCATTTTCCGATACCACCTGCTATCCAAGACAAGGAAACATCTGCCACTGTTAACTTCAGTTCTTCTATTGCTTTTTTGGGAGGTAGATATTTAAAATTCTCTAGAGAGATGGGACAGACACCTTTCATCGTAAACAATACACCCATAACTGAACATTCAGTGCAAGAAGTGATATTTGACAGTATTGCTAAAGTGTTAAAATGCGATAAACAAAAACTAACATTTTCTGCAAGTGGCAGGGAAGATTCTGATACTAGAATGTTGGGTGAAGGAAGACCTTTTTACATCCAAATAGATGATCCATTATTTGAGAAAATAACCCCCCAACAGTGCCAAGACATAGAACAGATTATATCCCAATCGAATACAGTGGTAGTTATAAAATTACAGCAAGTGTCTCAAGAGTCTACTAAAAAAATTAAGTTTGGGGAACAAGAAAAGAGAAAACATTATAGAGCTCTCTGTAAGAGTTTAGCTCCAAATGTCGAAAATGCTATTTCTACTGTTAATTTAATGATATGCCCTTTAGCTATACAACAAGCCACACCCATCAGAGTGTTGCACAGGAGAACACACCTCATTAGAGAAAGACTCATTTCTGAAATAAAAGCCACACCTGTTGAAGGTTATTCAAACTTGTTTTACTTGGATGTAATAACTGAAGCTGGTACATATGTTAAAGAGTTTGTTAATGGCGATTTTCATAGAACCAATCCAAATTTGTGTGATACTACTGGTTACCCAGTTGATGTGGTGGCATTGGATGTTACTGCTGTAGAACTGGATTGGCCTTGTAAAAATTAGTTAAATAAAATGTTTTTAAAAAATAAAACTGTTATTCTGTGAAACTCCCTATTGATTTTTTTTGGTTTTCAGTAAAATTTAAGGTGCTGAATGATTAATATATACAGGATATTTTTTTATACACATGAACAAAATAAACTCATGTTTAAGAGGATAAAAAATCATGAATTTAACCATTTAAAAAAATTCTATGCCTTTGTCTTTGTAATTTAATAATAATAATAATTTAAACCACGTTACTTTAATTATTTTAATTGATAGAAAGAATTTTTTTACCTTGTGCATCAGAATTTATTAATAAAAGTAATTTGAAAAAAAAAACAATTTCTAAAAAAATTATCTTTACCATATACAATGAGCACATAAAGGTTGGAACAAATTCGTTAAAAGCTTGATATGGTCAAAAAAGCTCAGACACGTCGATTTTCTTTTTCAGTTGCGCATTTTTTGGTCTACTCATATTTTTTATGTTTTTATTACTGTTCGAGTTATGGCGTCATTATCATTTTTTTTTAAATGGCAATATCCTATTTTGTTAATACCTTTAAAAAAACGCATTTTTTTGTGTATGGATGTCGTTTCTAATTTTCATTGCGCGGCGACACTGACTAATACTTTTTTAAAATTACTTTTTTTTTAGCGTATGTTTGAAAAATAAAAGAGATTTCATTCTAATAAAATAATTTATAAAAATCTGATGTGTCCAACACATGACTTTCCTATCTAGTTAACCTATTGCAGCATCTCTAAAAATGTTTAGAGGATAAACTAAATATATACATTTTCCACATACATCTACCTCGAAACATTTTTCTATAGATAATCATTGAAAACGAAAATATTGAAAAATTTAAATTTAGCACTTTTCCTCCACTTTTTCCATTACGGTCCATTTTAGAAAAGTCATTTAAAACAAAAATTATAGAGATCGATATCGCAAACAACTTTTAGTTTAACAATTTTCTTAAAAATCAGAATTTTGCACATTTTGTCAAATTTCTCGAATACGGACCATTTCAGGAAAATTTGACATAGAACAAAAATTATAGATAATAATATTGTAAGTAACTTTTATTTGAAGAATTTTCTTCTCCAAGCGTAAATAACGAATATATTCCATTAAATATAAAAATGACCATCAATAAAGTACCCCCCCAGATGTTCCGACTCTGCCCAAAATCTAATCAGCTCATTGGACGCTGAAACAAAGCTTAAGTTTAAAATTTGGTGTTTTTCTGTGTATCGGTTCATGAGTTATGCGTTATACAGACACACACACAGACATCATCGCGAAAATAGTCAAAACGGATTCAGGGGACCTCAAAACGTAAAAATCCGTCGAAAACTCGAGGTCGAAAAAAATCATGATTCCTATACTTTCCTTATATCTGTATACAGATAGGAAAGTAAAAATGACAACAGGACTAAATAAACCCACAAACTATTAAATATATTAAGGGCTCAAATTGCAAGCCATTTGCTTCTTGAAAAAATGCAAGGCGATATTGAAACTCTTGCAAAACATTAAGGGTATCAGCGTTAATTAAATTAATTTCAGTCCCCATTCTCTCTATTAGTTCATCAAATAGTATTAGGTCTGTTAACGAAAACTTTTGACTTAAGGTATATCCCCACAAAAAAATCTAGTGGGTTTAGATCAGGAGATCTAGCTGGCCAGTTTAAATAAGTTACAAACCTCAGCCAACGTACGGACCAATGTTTTATACAATTTTTAAATTCTACAAAAAAAATTAATAGATAATAAAATACAATTTGAAATTATTTAATTCATAAGATAATTGCCCTGACATATGATTACATTACTAATGAAACATTAAATAATTATTAGTTTTTTTTCGATTGTAAAAAAGGGAGCGACAAGTTCCATTTGTGACCCAGCCTAGCCAGGGCAAATAATCCTAGCTCCGCCACTGGTCTTTATTTTTGAAGTGGCGTAGCAATTAAATAAAACGGGTAGAATCCATTAAAATTTGCTGATGCATAAGTTTTTTACTTGGATAGGTGGTTAGTTTTTATTAATTAAAATTAAAATATAAAAACGTACCTACATTAAATAGTTATGTAAAACTTAAGTGTGCTATTAAATATCTGATGTCTCCTGTAAAGATGTCAAATAAATATTGAGCACGGGCCATCTAATCAAAAATTGTTTAGAATATATGAATTAAAAATAAACATTTATTCGAAAAAAAAAATCAATTCTCAATAAAACAGTTATCGATATTGAAAAGTTAACCAAGGATAATCTTGATCTGAAGAAAGAGGTAGAAAACCTCAACTCTCGAGTTGATGCGTTAGAGCAACAATTAAGATCTAACAACGCTAAAATACATGGAATACCAGTCAAAAACAACGAAAATATTGTCAACATAGCAATGGAAATTGGAACTCACTGAAGCTGATATCGATTCTTTTATAGAGCATCGACCTATAATGTTAGTAGACCAAAATCTATAAGGTTAAAATTTAAAAATAAATCAAAGTAACAGTATTTTATTAAATTGTTAATAATATTTTGGACCGTCATGTTACCAAGAATCCCAAGTAGTGTAAAGTATATCCTTTTTGGTTTTTTTTGTCAACCGTTAAAGCTATTATAGAAAAGATAAAATTTCATCGACGCTGGAAAAAATATAATATTGACATGGACTATTTGACATTCAAAATTTTACGTGGTAGATCAAAATTTTGGATAAACAAGGATTACAAAGAATATTAAATCAGGTTGAATCTAATCTTACTGAAAATACTAAGTATTTTTTCAATATGTTAAAAACAAAAAAAAATCCCCCATTTTACCCGATAATCTTGTAACCGATACAGGTCTAATTACAGATCCACAGGAAATCTGTAACGCCTTTTCTGATTTCTTTTCGTCTGTATTTGTGCCAAGTGATCTTATAAGTGATTTTTCTGCTATTTTCAACAGCACTCCTCTGAATATTACTCATTAAAAAATATCTCGTGAAATGATTTCATTAAAAATAGACAATTTGCCTGATAAAGGTCCTGGTCCAGACGAGATTCCTACATGCTTTATTAAAAAGTGTAAAAATTCTCTCATTGACCCTTTTTATTTCTTATTCAATAAATTTTTAACCGAATGACAGTTTCCTGATAAATGGAAAACGGCTTTCGTTGTGCCAATCCACAAATCAGGAAATGAAAACAAGGTGAATAATTTTAGACCTATATCAAAACTTAACTTATTAAGTAAACTATTTGAAAGTTTCATTTTCTATTTTGTGATGTCAATAATACTCTTAACATGGTTTTATTAAAAAACGATCGGTTGAAACTAATTTATTTGTTTATGTTGAATACATATTGAAAAATTTAAATGACGGAATGTTGGTAGATTTTGTGTATACAGAGTAATACAGACTTCAGTTAGGCTTTTGATAAAATTGACCATTCTATCCTATTATCGAGGATCGCTGAGATCGGCGTACACTGAAATCGGCGTACACTGAAATCTGCTAAGATGGTTTGAATTCTTATTATCAAAAAAATAGTTCTCAACAGGTAGCTTTGGGTAAATACAAATTATATATATATATATATATATATATATATATATATATATATATATATATATATATATATATATATCATTTCTACATCAGGAATACCACAAGGATCTCATCTTGGACCGTTACTCTTTAACCTTTATGTCAATAATATATATAAATGCTTTAAATTCGCGAAATTTGGAAGACTGTACAGTTTCATTGCTGCTTTTATAACCGAATATAGTTTTCTCTTTTTATGTTTAAAGTCTTTTAGCAGAACATAACTGTTTTCCTCAATGAATTGACAATCGTCAGACAAGCATATTGTTCGAACCCAGTTTGTTGATGTTCTTTGATCTAGTCACCAGATGTATGCAAATGTTTGAAAGCAATATCAGTATATTATCTAAACTTTAGATCATTTAACATTTTCACAGTGCAATAAAATATGCAATAAGAGGTCTGTTCCAACAGGCACCAGGATTCTGCGCAGTATATAATTTGGAGTCCCAATAATCTATTGCGCAGAATCCTGGTAGCAATGACTGGTTTCTGATCGTTGTTGGAACAGACCTAAAAATAACAAATAACCGACAGAAACTTCAACTGTCACTTTAATTTTGACCGCCGTCGACACAAGCCTTGGCTTTCGTATGTGTAAATTCTATGCTAAATCTTCTTATTTCTATTTTCCTGGTGTTTTGAACATTTTTTATTGAACATGAATCCTGGATTTTCTAAATAAATAATCTTCTCTTCATGTTAGCCTATGGTGTATGAAGTATATTATGCAACATTTAATTTCCAAGTAAGTTTTATATATGTACTATTTTTAACTGATAATATTTTTTAGTAACGTTATAATCATTTGTAATTATTATATTGGCGGCTCAACTTTCGTTTAGCCGAAATCTGTTATGCAGAAACTGTTATCATAATAACAATTGTGATGGCTATGAGTAAACAAAAACCCTAATCTCGTGGTGAGGAAATGCGTAGTTGCCAAGTAGTGGTTAGTAGGTGGGTGGAACGAGCGTAGCGTGATCTTATGATGTAGGTGGAAAAAGAGCAAGCCAGGCCGACGTTTCGAAATTCGCGCGCGCGAATTTCGAAACGTCGGCCGGGCGTGCTCGCTTCGCTCGCTTTCCTCTGTAGTAGATAAGACGTGGGTGGAAGGAGCGTAGCGTGATCTTAAGATGTAGGTGGAAAAATTCGCGCTCGCGAATTTCTAAACGTCGGCCGGGTGCGCTCGCTTCGCTCGCTTTCCTCTGTAGTAGTTAAGAGGAGGGTGGGATGAGCGTAGCGTGATCTTATAGAGAAACTTGCCATGGAAACGTTTGTCATACTAATGACTAAACAGATCCCGTAGTGAGAAAATGCCTAGTTGCCAAGTTATAGATGGTTTCATTTTCACTTTAGTTTAGATTAGGATATTGTGTTAAGAGTTAATCTAAATATAAGAGGCAACTCACCACTAGATTTAGGGTTTTGTTTAGTCGACATCACGACATCTCCATAATCGATTTCAGCTAAACTAAAGTAAAAATGAAATGACCTGTAACTTGCCAACTCTATGCATTTTCTTACCACGTGAGTTGGGTTTTTGTTTAGTCGTTACCATGACAAGTGTCTCTATGGCAAGAGTTTCTCCGTAACTGATTATAGCTAAATTACTATGTCAAGCGTTCCCATGGCAACAGTTTCATCATAACTGATTTCGTCTAAACTAAAGTGAACATTGAATAATCTATAACTTGGCAACTATGCATTTCCTCACTACGAGATTTGGGTTTTTGTTTACTGGTTACCATGGCAACGGTTGTAATGGCAACAATTTTTACGTAACTGATTTCGGCTAAACGAAAGTTGACCCCAATATATTCTTAAAACATGTAATTTTGCGTTTTATTTTTTCCCATATGACGGTCAAATCTGGCATCGTTAGACATATTGCATAATTATTAATCATTTTAGAGAGCAGTATAAACTTAATTGCCTTTTTATTTCTACAATAAAACCCTTGAAATCTGGTCTAAAATTATTTTTACTGTATTCTATATTTTGTTAAACTATATACGATTTCGTTTTTTAAAAATTATTGTAAAATTAACCAGGAGTTTAGACTTACCAGCATAAACACACCGAGACAACATAAAATAAAAGATATTTCACCAACATTTCTACCACTCTGGTTCGGTAGAACTATCTGAGGCCGATTGTTCTTGGTTACAGTATTCCACGGAAACTCCCATGAGTCCGTAGAACCCGTTTTTTGCAACATATTTTTGAATTCGAGCAGTTTGAAAATCAGAAAATTCAAATTTGACACTACTTTTTTATTTATTTAACGCTCTGGCCTATTACTATAATTACTAGAGCTAAATCGCTATTTAAAAGGCACCTTTACAATTCTAACATTATAGTAAATTTTAAAATGTAACCCATGAAACCCCTCATGGGCACACCACTGTGATCAAATGCACGATTGGTTGCCTATCGGCTCGATATTAGTTTTGTTGGTAGCACTGATTCAGTCAGCTGTCAGTGTCAAATTCTTACACAAAAAATGTCAAATAATTTTACATAAAGACAACTTAAATAAAATACAATTCTTTGGCGAATTTTAGATTTGAATATAAAAAGAATAATAATTAATTGTTCTAATACGTTTTCTAAATGATATAAGAACAGATTTTATAAAAAAATCTGATAACTAAAACTTTTGTTGACATATTTATTGAGAAATTTTCCGCCATGTTGAATGTTGTGTGTCATGTGTATTGGAGAAAACAACAAAAAGTGTAGTGTCATCACAGTTATTTTTGACCTGTAATTTAACTGTGATAGATTTTTTATTAAAAATTTTAGTCAAATAACTATTAATAAAGTAGTTTTGAAATCGAAATTGATTTGCAAACTAGGTATTTAAGGTGTTTTATGAAAGAACAACCTAGACAAAAATATAAAAGTAGGTAAGTGATTCATTGTAATTACATTATAGATTTGCGTTTTGTCTATTTTTTAACTATCGCATGTGAATTTTAAAACATTCTAGCTAATTCTGCTTTGCTAAGGCAAAAATTCGAATATTTTATAATTTTGCTCTTTAAATTGGCTATGGATGTCTAAGGTATTCCCATTACTTATTACCTACCTGCCTACTTTATTTAGTTTCTAGTAATATGTTTTCTGTATTTTTTATACCTTATCTTGTATTGGTAACATACCTTATTTTGAAAAATCAATTGCAATGGTAGAGTAAATAATAATCTTAAAAAAGGTCACATGACCATTTGCGATTTATAAACAAATTGAACCAACCTTATTTTTTTGAGTTTGCTTGAAGGTAAAATAATTAGATACCTTATACATAAATAGCTAATTCCTTTACTAAAATAAATTATTAATAATTTTATATTTCAAAAATACCTTTGTTCTAAGTTTGAAAACTCACAAATACCCTATTAAAAAGAAGTGGTGCATATCAATAAATCTGTCACTGCATAAAATGAGCTAAACATTTATTATTACTTATTAATATGTTTAGGTTTTTGTTCAATCACTTTAATTATGAACCGCTGGACTTCTGAACATACCACAAAATGAAATTGCCAAATAACTGATTACTTTATCATCTAATTAAGTAACAGAAAATGCATAAGGTATTAATAATTAAGCAAAACATGACATTCTTTATTTTTAGAAATTGATATGTCCTGTAGCTTGTACAATCTTATGGTTGAATTATTCTCCTTAGTTTTCCTAAATGTGCAAAATATCTTATATAGGGTGTGCCATTTAACACATTGTGTGCCATGTCTTTCATATGAAAGGCAGTGACATTTTTGCAGAGCCACCTCTTTCATTTTCGTTTCTATTCATGGCGATGCCATTCAAATATAAATGACACCACAGTGTATTCTCAGCTGTGGCCTCTGCAGAACATACTACAATATGTTAGTTTGAGAAAAAATGGAAAGATAAAAGTTTGGTGGAAGGTACACAAACTATGTGTTTTTGTTAATAAAATATGTATTACTTATGATCATATACTTATGGCTACACAAAAAAAGAGGAAAAAAATAAGAAGAAAACAGTTTATTTGTGTTTCTCATTGAAACATACAAAAAAATATGCTATCTTTCCTGCAGGGTCACATAAAAAAAAAACAATATAATAACAAAAAAGTAGTAAAACAGAAAATAGACTAAAAATAGTTAATTTCAGTACAAAATACATACAAATCATGTAAAATAATAGTTTGACCCACAGCGTTCATTCTCTGATGACACCTTGGCATGCAATTTGTTAAAACTTCTCCAAATTAAAATACATTAATGGTAAAACAATTTGTTTCCTTCAAATAATATATTATAGATGGCTCTGGCATGTAAAGAAACATTAATCAAACCTGTATTATAAATTTTGGCCACCTGTGTCTTAGCCAAATATAGACACTCCAACTTTTCATTTCAAAATAATTAATTTTATGATGTTTGATATTTAATAATAAAAAAAACAAATTGACCTTTTCCCTGATTTTTTACTTTAAAAAAAATTGCTAGTTACACTTGATGTTTCATCTATTCAGAAAAATGCACAAGAAAATTCATTCTGAGCATGATGTATCTCATAATTATATATTTTTTTTTCTATGTCCATTAAACTCTATAATTAATTTTTAACTGTCTGGTATTGTACTAAATTAATAAATAAATTATCAGTAGCCATAATTTTTATAAAACCTTAAACCATAATTCCATGCAGAAGGTGCTGGTCAGTGCACTGCAATAGTGTGACCAATGAGCCATATAAAAACCATTCTGTCATTGATTTTAATATACTTGTGCATGAGTTTTTTTTTAATATGTATATTGTTTTTGAAATCATTTATTGCATTGGTATGCCTTTGGATGAATAAAATATTGAAAGTAATAGATAAAAAATGTAAATTCACACTTAACCTTTGGTTTTATTTATTGTTTTACATAATTGAGTACCAAACAGTTATTTGACTAAAATGTTATCGAGTTACCTTAGGAATATAATAATAAAAAAAGCTTAAAATGACATTTTTATTAGGAAAATGTAATTTCAAGCTTTGCTTATTTCTTAATTACTGGTGAAAATGGTCTTATTTTTATGTCATTAAGCCTTCATTTGAAAAAGGCATTGAATTTCTAGAATAAGTGTCTTTAAATAATTATTTGAAATTTAAAAGTAATAAAAAATGTTTCCATTCAGGAATTATTTGGAAATTATTCAACACCCTGTATCTCCAAAGAATCCATTAAAGATAACAAGTTATCAGGAGTTTTGGTTTTAAAATAATGCCAGCAATCTTCTTAAATTTCTTAAAATACCTTTGGCACACCCTGTATATTACCCTTAATCCCTTTTCACTTGGTATACATTTTACTTCAAAATTATGACTACAACCATGTAGTGTTTTAAGAATATTCATATAAAAAATGTAGTAGTAGCCTTGTGTAGTTGTTACTAAATTGATATGTTTTTTTAACTGTGAATAGAAGTCATTAAAATAAACATCTTTTTCACAAAACTCAAAAATAAGAAATATACAGAAATACAAAAATCTAAATCCGGGACTGGATTTGTGTATTAAATGTTCAGGTATTTATGTTTTGTTCTTTTTTTGTTTTTCCCATGTATGAATCATAATTCACTGTGTACTGGGTATTGTAACTCAATTGTGTCTTGTCTGATTTCAGTAGTGTGTTTATCTGAAGTATCTAGTAAATGATTTTTGCGTATTTATAGTAAATTGAGAAGTGTGTTTAGATGAAAACATTTTTAAATGTAATCGCGGGTGATTGCAGATCAGGTGGGGTAAGTCAAAGAAAAGTGTTTGCAACAGTCCAGTAAAAACAATTGTATCCATTTCATGTTGATCATGTTCAAAGCACTACAACTTAAAGATTTTTCCTGCATAATTCAGTTTTCTTATAACAACATAAATGTGATCAAATTTTAATTTTATCAATGAATTTTACACGTTATTTAAATTGGACAGAATTGAATTGTATTTTAATACATTTTGGAATAAATTACTTATTTTTGAGTTTTTTTGAAAAAGCAAGTAAAATTTTTAGTAAAACAGAAAATAGGTCATTCTATTTCATAAATGTTAAAATTTTATTATTAGGATGGTACAAGATTTTTAAGTATACACTAAAAAAAGATTAAACACAATTTGATTGTAAATAACTTCTTCCATTACCTCACTTCATTTGATCCGTGACTTATATCTATAAATTCTTTGCATTTTAAATAAAATTAAAGAAAAATTAGTTCTGAATTTAAAACAAAAAAAATTCTGGTAAAGCGCCTTCAATGTATTTTAAATTGAATATTTTAGCGCCATAAACCTGTTTTAATTAATATATATTGATTTGTGATTATTTATGTTACGTAGCACATTAGAAGCCCTTCATTTACGACCTTAAATATCTTGGAAGTAGTGACAGTTAATTTTTGAGCCCTCTCTTTCCATCTTTAATATTTTAGCAGCAGTAATGCATGATTTTTTTTTTAACAAATATTAATGTTTTCGCAGCAAGCTATTTGGATCTAACACTCATCGATATCTTCGTATAAATCTACTTTCAAAGTAAGTTTTTTTTTTGTAGTTACTTATTTAGTAGTGTGTGTGTGTTATGATTGTATGTATGTTTTTCTATTGTGCGGATATTGTTGCGAACAGCAACAGTAAAAATGAGTCATAATTTTATAAAAAATTTAATTGAAAACAAATGTCTATTTATATTTTGGCGCCATCAGCTTCCAGTTTTGGTTATAAAGCATGATTCACAAAAAATGTTTTTAAAGTAGGCTATGAGCAACAAAGGTGGAGATACAAGTCATGTCCTTGATACTGACAAACTAATATTTAAAAAAGAATTGTACACTCCACATGCGCGAATTTTTTCAAGGCCTACTTTAGAAACATTTTTTGTAAATCGTTCCATACCTACCCTAAGTTCGTTTAAAAAATATCCATTAATCAAAAAATATTATGTAGTATATAAAAACCATTTCGACGTTATTCGGCGATTATGCATATTATTAATTTTTGAAATGTTCAGTGTATCTAGTTCATTTTTAAATGCGTTCTTAATTGCTTCCTATTTTGTATGCCATCGCATCAAATGCTATTCCTAAAGTACTGCAAGTCTCAGTCGATTTTAAATTTGACATTTTAAAATGTAACTGTCTCCAAATATCAACATTTGAACTAGAAATAAGTAGCACAATATTCCCAAAATAGTCAACAAGTGCTATTTGGGTTAATTTTTTTTCTCCGCCTTCGAAAAATATGAACGAGGGGTCATTCGATTCGGAATAGCGTGTAGATGATTTTTGAAAAAATTCAAGAGCTGCTTGCAAAAATTACAAGTTATAAAACTGAAAAAAAAAGGGTTTGGTTTTTTGAAAATGTCTTTAAAACTATTTGACATTTTCCAAATTTGAAAAAAGATTCAAAAAGAGGAGAAAATATCCCCAAAAAAAGTTTTATCACCCGGAACTGTAGGACCAATATTTATATTTATAATTTTCCCAGAGGGTTGAGAATACAGCTGAAAACGGAGACTTTACAATGGCATGAAAAGTTTTTTCTGTAAACACCTCTTTTCTTTCTTTGTGTTTATTGTTTACTATAACTGTTTACGTCAAAAAACAATACATAAAAAATATATTTTATATCGTAATTAAAGCGATTGTTGAGATAGCTAGACATATTTTTTTATCTTATCTTTCTAGATTTAAAATCAGTATAATTTTCTTTGTAAACCTTTATTTACGTTAGAAAAAAGAAAAGCATACGTTTCTCTGTTTATTAAGTAATGATGGATTTTACTAGGACATTAAGTAAGATATTATTTAACTTAAAATAGATATAAATTCAAGATTTTAATTACGTTCTGCTCTACCTAATGTAAATATGTCTAAAATAATATATTTGGATTTGTTTATTTTTGCATTAATTTATAATGAAGGTCAAATACAAAACTTTTACAAGCACAATTAATAGATCTGAAATTTGTTTTTTTATATCGGTATCTTGTCACAAATCTGCATACATTATTTTTCGTTTTCAAAAACGGCAAACTTCTACTAGATGAAAAAGACTACATCATTGGATTTATAAATCTTATAAACGGAAACATCCAAAATTTTATTTAAAAAAAAAGTTACTTACTATAACAATATTTATTTTGGAAACGCCCCATTTGGGTATATTTTTTACACAGATTTTGGATAAATTCTGAAAATTGGCAACATTTATAATACAAAGTAAAATTCTAGCTAAATTTATTGGTGGAAATCTGAAGCCGATAGCTCTTTCTGTTCTGGAGAGAAGTCCTTAGCATTTGTTACAAATTTATATTGTCTCCACCAAGACCATTCTGTTTGATACGTTTGTCATAACACTCCTTAGAATTTTTTACTATAGATATTTTAATTGGTTAGAGGAAAATGATTGCATGAATTTAGATTAGATGGCATGATAAAACATCATAAAATTAATGAAAATCCCTCGGATTGCATTTTGAGTTACTAAATTTCTGATAAATTTAGTTGTAAAATTATTTACCAGAAATAGGCTGGTGCCGATACTGTTTAAAAAAAAATTAATAACAGGTAAGGACCAGGTGGAACATGTAGTTAGGGTTATAACCATAAGAATTAAAAACTTTTAAACACGAGATATTGGGAAGTGGTGGAATGGGGGTGCAATTTAGGGGTTGAAAACGGTTTTTTGCGTTTTGAGGCGAAACGTGAGCTCCTAGCGAAAAGTATTCAATTCAAAAGTTGTAGATAATAAAAAAATCTAAAACTTTTGTACATGACGTTTTTCAATATAATCCAAATTTTCCGAGAAAATGCCGAAAAACTGACTTTTCAGTTCTTAATTTTTTTTTAGCGCGAAAATAATTTAATTTACATGAAATTTGGTGAAAGTGAAACTTTTTTAGTGTTAAATAAGTATGCATTTTTTGAATTTCAAACTAGTAGTTTCAGAGATATTTACATTTTTCGAATAAAAAATACTTTAAACTTCTACGGAAAACTTTATTGATGTTTTTTTCGATTTCAAGGTTTTATAAGGGCCCATTTTAACCATTGAAATGTCTACTTTCAGATGGTCTATAAAAATCAATAAAAATTGAGAAAAACTGAAAGAAGGTAATTTTTGCATCAGGAAATTTTTAATATTTTTAATTATTTTTGTAACTCTTTAATTTTTTTGTATTTTGTTAATAATGGGTTACGTTTTAATGACAAAATTAGAATACCTACATGTAACATCACTATAATTTATTTAATGTAATTATAAAAAGGGAGAAAAATCATTCTGAAATTTTTTCATGGTAAAGAATAATGATATTGTGATGAAAGTCGTATGCTGAAGATGAAGTTCGCTGGCTCAGTGTGCATTTTTATTAACATATATATGTTCGTATTTTTTATAGTAAAATACTATAAAGATGAGTAATCTATTCTGGGTTATTTAGAATAATAGTAGTTTGTGCAACAAGAGTGGATATGATGGCCATATCGCACGAAGACGAAATTTGAGCACGATGCCATAGGCGGAGTGCTCAATCGTCTGAGTACGATGTGGACAATCCACTCGAGTTGTACAGTATATTTTTTCTACGACCCACTATTGAAAATTTACAAATAAAAAAAAATATTTTTGGTCATTAAGACAAAATAACTAATTTTAAAATAATTTATGATTTTTAATAATTTAAAATAAATTAAATAAAAAAAAAAAAAGAAAAAGTTTACTCAATTTTTCCCTATGCGAGAATCAAACTCCAATCTTTCGAGTGGAAGGCAAGAATGGTAACCATAGGACCACCTAGCCTTTTATTTTTGTTGTTTTAATACTCAAATTGACTTCATATAGTTTTATTTAAATTAACAAATTATTTATTATAGACGAAATAAAAACAGAATTGCTATTATTTATCGATTCTTTCCAAGAACAACCCATTTTAATGTATGTTTAATCTCAATAACTAAAAAATATAGTGACAGTTTGACAGAATTGTCACTTATTTAAAATTTTAAAAATAGTAGTCGGTTGATCAAAATATGAACGGTGATTGATGGATTTCATTTTTTTGCACTACCTAGAATGGATATGAAATATATATTCGTTCAGTTAAAGGCAATAGTTTTTATAAACGTTTACTTTCTGTAATTTCACAAACGTAATTTTTCTTATTATTTACAAAAATGAAAAATGTACAAAAACTTAAATTATTAATTTTCGGTCTTTTACATTGTGGTTGTTCTTCATCGATTAAGTCTTCAAACTCCGAGGGATCTTCGGTTTCTTCAATTTCGATGTCAAGATTTTCTACTGGCTCATCGATTATTTCTTCTGATTCACTTAGTTCTTCAAAGATTTGTTTGTCTCTATTTGAGCAGTTCTCATGGCACTTAGTGCATGAATCGGTATATTTAAGCCGTGTTTTCTGCAGCCACATCTTTGTTTATTACATCCACTTTTACAGCTGCAACTTATACATTTGCACATATTTTTTTTGGATGGTTCACGCAATTTATAGTGTAATCTCAACTTTTTCAATTTTAATAATATATTATAAATTACATGTATAACTTCATTGAAATGTAACCTATTATTAACAACAGAATACAAAAAATTAAAGAGTTTCAAAAATAATTAAAAATATTCAGAGTTTCCAGAAATTGACTTTCTTCAGTTTTTCTCAATTTTTATTGATTCCATCAAAAATAAACTATCAACATGTATAGACCATCTGAAAGTAGACCTTTTAACTGTTAAAATGAGTCCTTATAAAACCTTCAAAATATCAATAAAGTTTTTCATGGAATTTAGAGTATTTTTTCGAAAAATGTAAATATCTCGAAAACTATTCGATTTTTGAAATTCAAAAATTTCATGCTTATTTAACATTAAAAAAGTTTAACCAAATTTCTTGTAAATTAAATTATTTTTACGCTAGAAAAAAATTTTAACTGAAAAATGGGTTATTCGCAATTTTCTCGGAAAATTTGAGGTTATGTTGAAAAACGTCATATACAAAAGTTTTAGATTTTTTCAGTATCTACAACTTTTGTATTTAACACTTTTCGCTAGGAGCTCACATTTTCAACCCCTAAACTGCACCCCATTCCACCCCTTCCCAATATCTCGTGTTTAAAAGTTTGACACACTATCTTGGAAATTACGCATTTTCAAGTTTTCTTATGTAAAATCACCCATGGAATTATTCGAATGGTATTTCTGGACACCCTGTGTAGAAACAATAAAGGTCTTTAGTTTTCTAAGAAAACCTTCATTTACACGTTTAAATAAGCATTTATACAAAAAATGGCATTAATAAAATATTGATTATTAATCGTGGTCAAAGGCAGCCAATAGAGGTGTCGTTATTGAGGTACCATTTGGTTTGAATGCGCTGAAGCGCATAAATCTTGAAGGCGAATATTTTGAACAAAACAATGTTTCTCTTTCATTGTTTTTGTGAAACTAAAAATGTAACCCTACCTACTTATATTTTTAAAAAAGTTCGCAACAATATTAAAATAATGGTCTGTTACAATTATTAAATAAATTAAATCGGCTTTATCTCGAAAGTACATATTTTTCAGATAGGACGTTTCAGCTTACCACAACATTATGAGCACTCCTCCTAAGTCCAGTCTTAACTCGAAAACGGTGAGTTTCCGAAATATGAATTTCTTATTTTAATCCCCTACATATACCATCTAAATTTGTAATATGTATTCATTAACAACCTGTCTTTGTATAATATTTTATTTCATTTTTGTTTAATATTTGTATCTGTACTGTGATTTCTAGGTTCAAAAATAGTTTTCAATATTTCGAAGGGGTATTTTTGAAAAATGTATTTCTAATTTAAATTAAAACTTCTTGAATCATATTTCTTTATGATACGGCTCTGTATTCATAATTAAAATTAGAAACGATACAAGTCCGTATTTTAAAATAATTACATTAATAAAAAAACGATGGCAAACATTTCTTTATAATTTTTTGATGTTTTATAAATTAAAAAATTAGAGCTAAAAAAGGGAAAATTTAATTTTTTATTTGTTAAATATTTCAGATACGGTCCTGGATTTTTTAGTTTATGTTGTGTCAGTTTATTTATCTCCTAAATACCCAACTTTTTTCCTATTTAACTGCATCTTTTTTTACTTGGCATTCCAATGTAAAAGTCATCAAAATATTTTCAAATAACTTTAGGTCTGGTGATCTCGGTGTCCAAGCAAGAAAGAAATTAAATTGCAGAATTATTAAAAATATCCAAATTCGGATCTGTGCATTAGCGGGAAAGTGCCGGTGTTTTTATTAGACATTACTTTCCTGAATAGGTGGACTTATCGAGGTCACTAGACCTAACTCTTTTTGATTTTTTCCTTAATTTTTGAGTTTTTTTGTTTTTTGAAAATTTTTATATCAATGACTTCCATACACAATTTTAGGAATCATCATGTAGTTATTTAGTTATATTATATTTCACTGAAAATTTTACAATTTTACAATTTTCCTGTTTTTACAAAAAATGTGGTATAGATGGCTGTAATTTTTTTATATTTATATTAATTTTAAACAAGTTTTTTGAGTAACATTTTTCTCTATTTTTAAAAATAAAGGTACTAGTATTGTTCCGAATTCATATTTTTGACATCTATCGTATATGGAACAGCATTTTTAATATTCATCAAATTTATATAGGTTTTCAGGCCAGGCACCAACTTTAATTAAATGTAATACCACGAGTCCTCCAAATTTTATCGATTCAATTTTTAGTTTCCACGAAAACATATTTATTTGGAAAAATCACGAAAATAAACCGATTGATAATTTTTTTTATTTTAAATCGATTTGTGGTTTTACATGAAATAAGAGCTTCTAAGTATGGAAACTCAAAATTTAATAGATAAAATTAAAAAGAAGAGTGGTATTTGGAGTAGTTAATAACCTAAACGCTTCTACAAGTGTTTATTATTAAATATACTATAAAATATTTGTTTATTCTATAGTAATACAATTTCCTTTAATAATCTACAAAAATTAATATGACAATAACAGATGGGAAGTGCCGGGCATGCGCAAAACCCCGGCGACTCAAAAGTACAGTTGAAGCTGACTTAAATTATGAGAAAACATTTTACATACGTTTCACATCTTATACTAGCTTATAATAATCTTGAGATTTCTGTTAATAATAAAAAAATCAATAAAAATAAAAGCTGTAAATAATATTAAATATTTGGGAATATACATCGACTGTCATTTAAAATGGAACGTCCAAGTGAACTGTGTTATAAAAAAAACTACGTTTTATCCTACTAATACAAATAAAAATATTTTATTCTCAGTAATAAATATATAAACAATATAAACATGTTTACATAGTCGTCAGAACACATAAATGGTAAAATACACTACATTTTACATACATTAACATACAGGATGCTCGTATAAAATTTAACATAAAATAGGATTTTAAAAGATCATGGTTGCTAATAGTAATAAAAAATATATAAAAAAATACAATATTAAAAATATTAAGTGACATGTTTCACTCTTACAAAATAATCGTTAGTGTTATATAGACACATTTCCAGTAATATCTTTTTATTTTGATGTTTAAACTTTTATCCTGGTAAATTACGGTTGTGGGGCGGAAGTGCATTATAGAATGAAATGCCTATTGTCCGGGACTTGTTTATTCTAGTTCTCGTTTGGATTAGCTGATTTTTCCCTCTGGTATCGTATGTATGATTGTCTAAGTGACATGTGAAGTTTCCCAAATTATTACTTTTTATGGCTAGCAAGTTTTCAAATACTCTATGCTAAGTTGCTTAAATAGTGGTCGGCATGGTACATAATAATTTTACCCGCAGAATAGAGCGAACTGCTGATTTTTGCAAGATAAAAAGTCTTTGTAGTGAAGTGAAGCTAGCATTTCCCCAAGTTAGAATCCCATATGTTAAATTGGAATAGAATAAGCCATAATAAGTAGTTATTGCTAGTTATAAGTTTTTATTACATTTTCTTTTAGGTTGGAATATATTAAAATGTTTCATAAATGTATCATGAAGTGCTTCAGCTTTTTTATTTGTATTGGTTGCTTTTCTCATGTCATGCCAGGTTTCATTTTGCAGAAGATTATTTATATTATTTTGAGAAAAGAATCTAAAATGGGTTATATCTCCTAATAAGGAGCGCTCATGATTTAGGAAAGTTAATAATTGAGGGTCATGGTCTAACTCTGTAGTCCTTAACACGCGTGTCTGAGCAAAAGGAAAGTTAAATATTGTTTGTTTAAAATTAAACTGAAGTAACAAGTCGGTGAGTTGTTTTGTTCTGCTATCAAGTTCTAAAAATTTTACATTAAAATCCTCACATATAATGATTCTACTATTTTTGTGTTTAGCTTCTAATAGTAATAAGACATTTGTTAAAATTGTAAGAAATATTTCAAAATTAGAATATTGCGAATTGAACCAATATATAACAATGAGTAGCGATTAAGATTTTTAATAAACACCCCAGTTATTTCACAGTGGATTTCTTTTGACATATTCTTAATTTCTGGAATCTCAGCGCTTTGTAAAGTGTTGTGAATATATATACTTACCCTCACCATGGATATGTGTTTCTCTACAAAAAGTAGTTACGTTATTAAAATTTGTAAGATTGAAACATGTCGCCTGGGGGTCGATTCTCGACTTGTAGGAACCTTTTCCTATAGGAATTTGTGACACTTTCCTATATGTATGAAAATGTCATAAATTTTCGATGTATATAAAAATGTCAAAAATTCCTATAGGAAAATATTCCTACGAGTCGAGAATCGACCCCCAGGTTAGAAAACAGCCAATGTTCTGAAAAGCAAACAATTTTTACGTTTGTCATGTTATTAACTAGGTTATCTAATTGAAGTATTTTGTTTCTAATACATTGTACGTTTTGATGGAGAATATATAAATGCAAAACTTTGGATGGATGGATGGATGGATGGATGGATGGATGGATAGATAGATGGAAAATTGGTCATTGGATCTTACAAATACCCATTAACAAAGTAAATCAATTCTTAAATTCAAATATTGCTTGTTATAGTTTGAAAATCTTGTAAAAGTCCCCCATAAAAAAAATTAAAAATGTACCCATTTTAGTAAATAAAATTATATTTTTTAATAAACAATCAAAATGATTTAAATTAATATGAATTTTGGCAATTTTGTATCTATTTATTTCAGGAGTTTATATATATATATACATATTTTTTTTTCAGTAAATTTTTATTTATTATAATACCGACGTTTTCTTTCATTATTAACGGATATTAAAGATGTAGGTGAAGAAGTTGTAACAACTGTGTACAGTTTTCTTTAACATTTCCATTTTGACAGGGTTGATAAAAAACATACTTAACACAAGCGTTCACAAAGTATTTAATTTGCTCACTTTTCGGGGAATGTTTAAAAATATGTGGCATTTTAAATACATTTTTGACCACTCTGTAAAAATATAAATTTCAAACTTAATGCAACTCTTTTTATCATTTATGCAGCTCTAAAATGTAATTTAAATTACTATTATGTTGATATTAGATAATTTATTAACTTTGCTAACGACGATATGGTAATTAAAATATTCTTAACTGAAGTATTTAATGCTGTAGATAAAAAAAAAAAAACACTGAAGGTTAATGGTTTGCAAAAGCCGTTAACAAGTGAAATTTACTCTACTGTAAAAATGTTATTTGATGGTGATTATATTAATGTAAAAGTTAAATAATATCAAAATGATGTGGTCGTTTTAGGAAGATTAATCATTCTTTTGACCAAAATATCGTTTTTACTAAATGATCTAGCTATTATACTCTGGGTTAATTTAAGTTCAAATAATAACTCATTAGAAATTAGAAACCAATTAAAAACTTGTTTTATGGAATTGTATCTGAGTAATGCCAAGCAATAAACAAATACTTTTTTAAGTTTTTTTTTTTATATTAAATTGTATAAGTAGAAGCATATTAAATAATTTTATTTAAAAGGACATTTTTACTCAATTTATGTTGAAATAGGACTAAAGGCTATTCAATGATAATCAGTGGTAAACAAGCGATATTAATTTACAGTATGTGTTCAAAATGTTTACCACCAGCTTATGCAGTATCTTCTCATTTATATTTTGTATTTACTATAGCTGCTCGAGTTTATAAACACCATGCAAATGATTTTGAATTGAACCATTCGTATTATTTCATTAGGTTTAACAAAATTAAGGTGAAACATTGTTGCAGTATTGAAATCTTATAGGGGTGCATTATCAAATATTTTTTTCGGCGACCACTACAGAAAATCACATATTCCGAATGGTTTTTTAAGCGTGAAAGTAGGCAATTCCGTACACATACTTAATTAGCGTGTAAATATTCCACACAGTAATTCCACACTGTTTAGTGCATCGAATAAATTGTCATAAATTAACTAAATCATTCGTTCAAATACTAAAAAATTCAGTTAATTTAGAAAAAAACTAAAATGATTTATATTTTCTGTAATGTTGTTTGCTTTTATATAAAAGAGAATACAAAAAAAAATCATATCAAGTTTCCCGATTTAAAATATTGATATTTCAAATCTTGACATTATAGCCCAAGAGCCCACTGC